AGCAGGAAAGCAGAGCCAGCTGACATTCAGATAAGTTGACAGCATCTGCATGAGCTTTGGGTCTTGCATCTTTGTGATGCTAGAAAACAGCCCTGGTTCCAGGCTGCGCTGATCCATGGTCTCAGACACAGCCAGGACACTACGAAATGGCAGCAATTTGCACACTACAGCTCTCCCATCCCCTCATTTGTAGCTTCCCTCCTCCAGTAAACCTGGTCTGCAGTCACTCTTTGACCCCTGCAGATCAGTCCCTCCCCGTCTGGGTCTTTGTAGCTGTCCTGGATGTCTGCACAACTCAAGGAACACCTGGCCCCTTTGCAGGCTGCTGCTCTGGGATATGAGGAGCATTTTCCCTTCTATTTCTGGAGCTGCAAATGTCTGCAGAGGAGGCTTAAGGCAGACATTGATGCCTTCTGTGCTAAAAGGAGGAAGGGAGCTACCACGGCAGATCCACTGGGTTCCTGGCAGGGACCGTGGTGTGAGCACATCCTCCCTATAACTCCTGAACCAGAAGGAGCAGAAGGCCTGAGATTTCAGCTTGCCTCACCTCTACCCCAGCTGCAAGGAGGAGGCAGGGGCTGGTGGCACTCGGGGACATGGCTGCAAAGGCAGAGGCTCCCAGACTGGCATCTGCAGGTGGTGTGAAGAGCTCTGCAGGGCATGGGGTTAGGCAAGGAGTCCGCATTTTAAACCAGCCCATGCATGAGAACCGGTGTGAGGGACGCTGCTGTCCTGTGCAACCTGGGCTGCTGCTTCTCTGGACAGGAATTGGAGCTGAAAACGCAGATAATTTTGTAAATCTCCTTTTAACACATTAGCATGGGACTCTACACTCAGACATCACAGCTGGCACACCGACGTTGATCTCCTTCACCTCCAACACAGTCCGACAAAGCCTTTTGGCCCGGAGACAGGACTCTTGCTCCTTGGTACTGTCTGGGAACGTGACTGGGTCCCAAGGCTGAATCTCTACATATCTCCTTTGCATTCTTTAGGAAAGCAGCTCGAGAATGTTTACACACTGCAAACAGAATGTACAACTCCGACCAGGAACCACAATCTGGTTCAACTGCATGGCAAATTTCTTGGCCATCGAATCAGGCATGCATCACAGAGGCCCCGTCTGTGTACAGATCCACCTGGCATTGCTCATACCTTCAGATCACGTCTTAAAAAGAATATACGACGATGCCATTTCTTGTTCATACCAGACACAGTTGTCATTAGATTTATTATTAACGGGGGGATTCTTGATCATGCCATTAAAAGCCTGTCTACCTTTTCACTGGTGTCTTCTCCTATTTATTGGTGTTGCAGAAAGAAGCAGAAAAATCTCACCTGAATTTTTGTCCCCCCTCCCCCCCAGCTCAGGCTGCCCAGGGCCCCAGCCAGCCTGACCTGGAGCACCACCAGGGATGGGGCACCACAACTTCTCTGGGCAGCTATGCCAGGGTCTCATTGCCCTCTGAGTAAAGAATGTCCTCCTCACATCTGACCTACACCTCCCCTCTTTGTGACTAGTACTGAAATACCTCATTGAAACATGTGAGCACGTGGTAACATTTCCCAGCTGGTGTAATCATGGTCTAATGCACTGAGTGTTTGCTTGGAGGCTTCAGATGACAAAAAAAAACTAAAGGATAAGAATATAATTTGTATCAGTCACTGTGACTTTATGGAACTTGACATTGTAGGCAAATGAGGTGGCACTTTCTTTTATATATCACCTGTCTAATCTTACATGTCATTTGACTAAATATCCTCAACACCTTCTTTCCCCTCTGATTCTTTACACTGAGCTGCACCTCTCACAGATAGGAGCTACCAGCCCCAGCAGGGCCCCAGCACACAGCTGGGATAAAGCAGCCCTTCATAACCCAATTAAAGAGCAGTGAGGAGCAGCAGCTTGGCCTCCTTTGAATAGGCTGACTTTTCTGACAGGAGAACACCTGCAGCTCTTCTCAGCTTTAAAGAACTGTGAAAAATCAGAGCACAGAAAAGAAGAAAAGTGCTCCTTTGGAAAGATGATCTTACGATGACAGGTTTTAATCCTTCTCCCATAGCCCAGAAAGCACAGTTAGTTGGCTTCGGTGCAGAATCTAAATCCACAGAAAGAAGCACTGGGCTCTACAAAGCCCACATCAGTGAACAGGCAGATGAAATCTGAGCAGTCTCCAGAGAAATGCTGAAGTGATTGTCATCTGCATGGTTCTGGCTGATGGAGAAAGGGGTAGGAGGCAGGTTTAAAGAGCAGCATTCCAACAGCCACGTTCCCTGATGTACTCTGAAGGCCACAGGCAGAACAGATGGATGGGCAGACCAACACGGTGCAAAGTTGCGAAGACTGTCTGAGAAGACTAGGTCTGAAGAAGTTGAAATGAATGGCTGAGAAGGCTTTGAGGTAAGGACCGGCTGGGAATGGCCCAGGAAGGGAAGGGAAGGGAAGGCTGAGCAGAGCTGTGGAGTTATTGGGATGCAGTGAGCCACATGGGAAGGGAAACTCCCCAGGTTGGGTGTCGGACCTCGCTTTGCTTGCTCTGTCATCACATACAAATCACTCTTGGCAGCCACTCAGCCCAGCTCCTGCTTCAGTGGAAGAAAGTGTGTGACTATGTACTTTCACACCCACACCTTTACTGTCTGCACAGAGTTTCCAGAAATAACTTTCTAACCAAAACTAAATCCTGCCCTAAGCTCCCTCAACAGCATTACGTGACTGTTTGAGGTAAAACCCTGCTGTTAATTTTAGTTGCAGTATATTAGGGACACTAAAGTGTCTTCACTGCCCTGCACAGCCTCACCTGCCCCTTTAGTGGTCCAGGAGCCCACTAAATGCCTGGGTCCCCTGTCTCCAGCCCCTTCTGCTCCAGACTGGGCTCTCCAGTTGGGCCCATGTCCCAACTCATCCCCTGGCTGTGTCTGGGGTTGCTGATGGACCTGGCTCCAACAGCTCCTCTGGCTGTGCTGCTGTTGGCCACTGAAGGATATTTTCTCTCCACCAGTGGCCTTCTGAAACAGAGAAGAAAGACTGCTGAGGAAAATGATATGGATATGAAGCTTCTGTTTTCATATGTGAGCAGTCAGCGTGATCTCGCTGCTATCAGGCAGGTCCAAGCCACAAGACAGGTCCAGGGTCTAGAGCCAAGTGGTAGGGCAGAGTCACAGCAGTTGTACGTGCAGTCCATTAACTACACGTAGTGACCCACTACGAAAACATGTTTGGGTTAGAGAAATACAGCAGTCAAGCAACATGTTCTTAGCAATTGCAGTATGAAGAGAAGGGCTCCAGGGGTTGCAGAGCAATGGACTGTAACCTCATTTCTGAAGGGGAGGCTGGATTTGCTCTGCAGTTAAAATATGCAACAGCATATCAATGAGAATCCCTGTTCCTTGCTTTTAGAAAACCAGTGGGGAAGAAAAACAATTTGCCCTTTAGTTCGACTTGAGTTTAAACTGTAACCCTGGAAGGATGGTGCTGTCGGGTGACCCTGCTCCACTCTCACCTAATTTCCCTGCTCCCATCCAAAGATGAGCACTGATACACTCAGTAGTGCAGACTGGGGCAGCATGTTAGTTAAACATGGATGACCAGGAATGCTGCTGAGACAAGCAAAGATCTCCTAAGGCCACAGCATGCCATCCTTTGTCTTATAAGCCTGAACCTGAGCGTTCAGCCACAACCAGAAAGGCCCTAAGAACTGCTTCAGCCCTTCTTATCTCCACCTGCTGCTCTGCAGCCCTTTGGTCTCTGGCCCAGTACAGCCTCAGGGCAGGTGCCTGCCTGCATCAGCACCCCTGAACACTCAAGACCACAGGACTGCTGTAGGAGGGAAGACGTAGGGAAACCAGGTAGAACTCGCTACCCTCCCAACTCCCAGTTTAACCAGCCTTGATATTGCTGCTTCTCTGAGCTTGCTTGTTTGTGGGGCAGAGCCCTTTGTCTGTGCTAAGTGCTAGTGATCCTCCAGCTGGGTCTCTACTGGACAGGGAGAAGGGTGGGCAGCTCCTGACTGACTTGAAGTACCTAGAGCTGCTAGACTTCTTTGTCCCTGTCTCATGGAGTAGAGATTGTCCTTTGAACCACGCTGTTTGTGTGACCCAAGCTGCACCAGCTCTGTTGCTGCACCTCCCCATTTGCTGCATCAAGGCTTTTGCCCAGCAACTGTGCAATATGGAACTCACATATCCTTTGTCAACTTTGACCTTTGATGACAGGTTTCTCCAACTAACTTTCAGCTTCTCAGATGCATGGTTTGTTCTTGTTCTGCAGTGGCTCTGGCTGAATAAAGAGCCCATGGTGTTGGCTAAGAGCACACAAAGAATAGAAATGCAAATTGAAGACCTGTCTCTTCTAGGAGCTCTTTCTGGTGGTGCTGGACGAGCCGTGGTGTGAAACCCCAGTGGCAGCAGTACCTCTGGCCCTGCTGAGGGCTGTAGGTCCCTCATTGGGTTGTTGTATTGATCCCCAACCAATTGGTCTCCATTCAGAGACGCATTTCTCATCTCTTCTGGGTGCTCTGTCCTCTGCATATCTCTTGCTCCCAGGTCATGACTTGAGACAAGCCATACTAAGCACACAGCTGATGCACAGCAATCAGGCTTTGGTGCTCACAGGCATCCTCCATGCTGGGGGGCACCACTGCACTCCTGGGGGCCCGTTTTCTGTCCAGCTGTGCAGGCTGGTGATCAGCTCACACAGCAATGTTTCTGTGCCTGAGAGAAAGCAGAGTGTGATGTCCCTGCACCAGAAACAATGGTGCTGTTTTTTTTCCCCACAGCCCTTTACCAATGTGGCTTTCCCCCCAGAAAACCACCACAGGAGGAAAGGACTCTTTTCTTTATTAAAAAAAAAAAAAAAAAAAAAAAACAAAAAAAAAAGGTGCTTTCTGCTGCATCTGCTTGAAATAGATGTGTATGCACACGGAATGACTTGGAATGATTTCTTTGGCTCTACCCCAAATTGAGTGTTTCACTGTGACTTCTGAAAGCCTTGCTGTGAGATCTCAAAGTCCAAGGAAGTGGCTGTATGAAAAGCCATGGGAAGCTGAGCTCCAAGGACAGAGACAACTTTTCAAGCTTATGTTGCTGCTTCTTGATACATAGCTGCTCTGAATGAGCAAACTGTATAGGAAAGATGAAATTTGAAGATCTCTTACTGGAAATTGGTGGCTTTGGCAGATTTCAGATTTTGATTTTGTTAATCCTCTGCCTCCCAAGAATCAACCTTCCCATGCATTTCCTATTACACAACTTTCTTGCTGCTACTCCCTCTCACCATTGTGCAATTCCGCATCAGGAAGAATTTGTGAACCTCACCACGGAGGAAATTCTGCTCATCAGCATCCCCCGGGAGCCTGATGGCACCTTCAGGTCTTGTGAGATGTTCTCACAGCCTCAGTTTCACCTACTTCTCAATTCCTCTCTGCAAGCAGACAACGACTCCGTCACCCAGGACTGCCAGTATGGGTGGGTCTACGACCACTCGCAGTTCACCTCCACCATCTCCACTGAGGTAACTCCTGGCTTGTGATCTAGCTGAAAATGAAATTAGCTCAGTGTTTTGAGGAGATGAAGGTTCACAAGGTGCACGAAGGGGAATCTTTGCATTTTAACCAGTGGAAAGTACTTGTTTAGAGAAGATGGCTTGGGATGGGGAAAAGTTCTCTTGAGCTCACAGGTAGATGCCAACATTTCTCATAATGAGCACCTCCAGGTGATTGAGAGACTGGGGGTGTGGGGAGGAGAGTCTGCTATGGGATTTTCTTTGCTTGGGCCATGTGGCATTGGCACAGGATCACACCCTGTAAGGATGTCATCTGACTCTGTGGCTTTCTTGATTTTCCAAGCACTTTGTTACTTCCCTTGTCTGCCTCTCCTCTCTGGTCTCCTGCTCCCTTGCTTCTCCCCAAGATCAAGCAGCCTTTCTCAATCTCCCTGCTTGTTCTATTCCTGCCCTTTAAGATATCTTTGGTGTTTTACATTTGTTGCCTGCGTGACTTGATGGGAAGCAGACCTCAGCAAAGCTGTTGACGCACAGCAACTTTATCCTTCTAGAAGACAATTTTCAGATTTAGAGAGTCCATCAGTCCAGTTGTCACCAGAGTGCTGATGAAATGTGCTCTCGGAGGGCTCCTGGTGAGGTGTAGCACTCTGGTCAGCCATAACCTTGAGTCTGCCCAAGGTCCCTGCCCATCAAACATTAACCACCAGCCTTTTGAAATGCTTCGTTAGGACTTAGAATGATACCTCTGGGTATTAAAGCTTTACCTGCAAGCTGTACTTTTCTTCCTGGAAAGGCAGCCCAGTACAGCACAGTAGGTCTTAGGGAAGGGAACACTTTGGTCAGACAAAAGGGAAATGGTTGGTTCAGAAACAACATCAGCTGGCCATGCTTTCACTAAGACAAGTCTTATCCTTGAGCCAATGCCTCCTACCCACCACTCAACCTCTGGTTTTGGCAAGCATAGAGATGGATGCTGGGAGCGCACCAGGTCTGCACCTGATTTCCACGCTGTTTCAGGGAGAAAGATGTAAAGCACCCTTGGAGAAAAAGGCAGAATAATTGCTCTGCTTCAGAGGCACTGGACTCAGAGCCTTATGACACTGCACTCAGGCTGAGTTCAAGAGGCCATGGACTTAGTGTGGAGTCTTTCTGTCTTGCATCCAAAAAGGTTGTTCAAGGTCTGGCTGGCCTTGTCAGAGAGGCTGCAAGGTTGGGTTGATGATTAAGTTAAGTTTTGTCAAGTTACACACATATGAAAAATTAACTCTGCAGCTTGGTCAGAGCATTCTCTAATGATCAGCAACATTTGCACCTCCAAAGAAGAAAAATGATGCTAATTAACTCAATTAAAAAGAGTGCCTAGACCACTCTCTCCATAGAAATAAGTAAGTTATAAGCATCAGGAGTGAGTCTGACTCCCCTCTGTCTTCCTTTCTTCCTTCACAGACTACTTGGAGGAAATTGATCGGGGCATCACTAACTGGATGGCATTCTATGAAGTACATTGTAGCACAAAGAATCAGAGAATTGTTTAGGTTGGAAAAGAACCTGAAGATCACTAAGCCCAAACATCATCCTGTCCATCCCAGTCCCCACGCTAAAATCACGTCCCTCTATGCCACATCCATGTGTCTGTTGATTAACCCCATTGCTGCCCTGGGCAGTCCATTCCAATGCCTGACCACCCTCTCTGAGAAGAAATTTTTCCTGGTATCCCAACTAAACAGCATCTGGTTCAACTTGGGAAGGGATTTGAAGGGAGACAGAGGCTGGACTGGGCACTCAGTGTCACTTTGGCCTTGTGTTTCAGTGGGACCTCGTGTGTGAGCAGCGTGGGCTGAACCAGGCGACCGCGACCTTCTTCTTCGTTGGAGTCACGATCGGGGCTGTGGTGTTTGGATACCTTTCGGACAGGTTTGACCCTCTCAGGCTGTCCACCAAGGCTGCAGTTTCCTGGCAAGGCCTTCACACACATGTGACTTGCAAAAGCAATGAGAGGGGAGAAAAAGGAGAAAACACAGTCGTAAACGGAGAGCTCAGTCTTCTACATCCAAACTAGATTAAAGTCATACTGAGAAGTAATGCAAGGGCTAAATGCTGAGTTAGAGTTGCGGATTGCTTCATGGGCCAGCCAGTTAAGAGCCCACATGAGAAGCTGCTCTGGCCATGGTGAGGATAAGGTGCATTGCAACAATGACAGTAGCACAGAATTGCTGCATCCACTGTCTGCAAGACATTTCAGGAAAGATAACTGCTTAAAAAGGAGAAAGATGATTAAAACAAAGCTGAAACAAGCAGCTGAGAGTTAAATCCTGACAAGCTATCTGGAAATTATCTAAGGATATACAAGTGAGGGGCTTAAAGCAAATACATGTCAAGTCTGAAAAAGATCTCAAGAAAGCAAAAATTGTCATTACTAGAGAAGCAGGGTAAAGCAGGGTAAACTCTTCAAGGAAGAGTTAAGACCATGGCCTGATAAGGAAAATAGGAGCAAATCTTTTCTCCCTGGTTAAATGTTAGAGTGTGATAATGTAAAGGGGAAAAAAAGCCTGAGTAATAACCTAGAATGGGCATCAATTAAGAAATCAAATATTTCTGCAAATAGCAGAACCTTCCACTGAATATGCAGAGCAAGCATGCAATCAGGATGTGCTGTTCTCTTTACACTATTCAATATTTAATGGCTGTGTTTCCTGTGCAGGAAACTATTTGATTCCCTCCTGATTTCCTTTCTCTGGGACCAAAGGAACATTAGGGTGAGGCAGGCTGCAAAATCACTTCACAGCAGAAGGGAAACTACGTGCGCCATACAAACCTGCCAGTCACTTCCGTATCTTTTCTTCTATCTGTTTCAAATCAGTTTTTATACAGGTCCCCAAGAAAGACCTTGGGAACTGCCAGCCAGGCAGCCGGCGTCCAGCTCTAATGAGTGAATTGGTAGAAACAATTCTGAAGGGCTGAGCCAGTGTCCATAGGACTTCTATTCCTCTTTTGCGTAAGGTTCATACCCTACAAGCAGATTGGATTTCTTTGAAGATGTTCACAGGTGCGTCAACAGAGGAGATATCATCTGTAAGAGGTTTCCTTACAAAAGGCTTCAAAAGAAAAAGGATATCCTTGCATGGCTAAATAATTGATCAAAAGCGGGGAAGGAGCAGGGAGGGGTAAGCGGTAATGTCTAAATGATTCTAGAATGCCTCCAGGGACAGTGACTGCACCACCTCCCCTGGCAGCCTGTGCCAGCGCCTGACCACTCTTTCAGAGAAGAAATTTTTCCTAATATCCAACTTGAACGTCTCCTGGCACAACTTGAAGCCCTCTAGTTCTATCTTCTCAGTGATGAGTGGCAGCTGGGGAAGCAAATGCATAATTCAGAATTGTTAGGAAAGGAATATAAAACTAAAGTGAACATAACCATGCAGAAGCATGTATGTATGTGATGGCCCCACATCTGGAATACCGTGTGCAGTTTTGTTTTCTCTTCAATCTCTTCCCCACTTATACCTACTATAAACTCCTCAGGGTTATAGTAGAAGGGAAAAAAATGTGATGTCAAAGAAGAGTAAGTTAAGGGTTGACTGCTGAGTAGACAAACCAGGACCTTCAGTGTGCTAAAGAGGCAGATAAAGAGGGTTTGGCAGCCAGCTGTGCCTTTGTCAGCAGCCTGACTGCACTGCCATTCTGGGCCATGCTGTAAACCACAGCAAATGGATCAAGCAGCTTGGTGTTGGTCGCCTACAAAATTCCAGATATGGCAATAGGTCTTCCATCTTCCTGGGTGTATGGGAACTGCTGAGTCACGGCCTGAACCTCTGATTAATCACCTGAGGTGAGCCATGAGTCAGCCAGAGGAGCACAGGTGAAGGCAATTCACCTGTGCTGCCGGAAGGGGTGGAGCCTGGCTCCACCCCTCCTGGACCTATTTAAGAGCTGGCTACCAGAGGGGAAGGATCTCTTCTGGAGATCCTCCTCTTTTGGTATCTTCTAGTGAGCTCAACCCAAGGGTAAGCTCTTCTACTTATTCTCTTTTGCGATCCTTGTTAGCTTTTGCCTTACTCTTTTGATTATATTGCAATTATAACATCTTGGTTATACACTGGGGGTGCTTAGAACTTTGTAGTGCATATTCAGTCCCATTGCCATCATGGTTTCCTCATCTGCAAGATGACATTTCTTTGGCTTCATTCTCATCTCAGCCTCCTCCAGCTGTACCCATTTAAAGTGGAGAGCCAGAAATGCTTAGGGGGTTTTTTCAGCTCAAGAAGTGACCATTTCCTCCTGCCATCTGGTTATTCATGTATCGTTTACCCATGCAAAGGCCTCCCCTTCTCTCCTGTAACAGCTTAGTTTCTATAAGAACCTCTGCTGGAAGGGTGGTTATGGCAGCTCTGGGAAATCCAAGCATTCTGAATCAATCAGAACTTTCTCATTACATTTGACTTCTCCTGCAGTGAACTTCAACAGATAATAAGCATTTTCTTTACAAAAGCCATGCTGATACCTGCAGCATTTGCTTACCTGTGTCAACAAATTCTAATTTTTAACATTATCGTTACCCACTTAATCAGTATCAATACTAGATCTGTTAAACCTCAGATTCATGCCCCCACATCTCCCTCAGGACACTGTAAAAGCAACCTTTCTCTTCTCTAATAGAGAAGAGGTCCCACTCTCCTGTGCAAATTGTAAAGTGCTGCACCTCTAGTGCTTCAGGCTGAGAGACATCTGGTCCTGCCATTTTGCTACAGCTCAGGTTCATTCTGATCCAAGCTTCCACAGACTCCTGCACTTGAGAACACTTCTGCTGACAAATCTTATCCCACCAAACCCTCCAGCCCTTTATTGAGAACATACCTATGCAAAAGAATAGAAATCTGGAAAAAAAAACCCTGTTACTACCTGTTCTTGTCCAGATTCTCCTTTTGTACCTTGTTATCGTACATCATTGGCTGCATCACACTCTGGCAGATTCCCAGATTGGGATATTTATGAAAATTGCTTTTCTATTCATTTTTATCCTTGCACAGTTTGCTCTTTTTATTATATTTTCCACATACAAACGTTCAGAGGTTGGGCTTTTCCATTTCTCTCTCTCTCTTTGGAGGCAATTTTAACCGCATTTCTTTTGGCAGCCTCCTTGTAGCTGTTCGATCCTGTCAGCTTCCCTCTGGTTCCGTTAGCAGGTGGTGTGCATTTGCTGCGAGAGTCTAGTAATGGGTCCATAAATAGCAGCCTTGTGCTCTGCAGGGAATTTTGTATTTTGATATGTTCCTTCTGTATTTTTGAACCATATCTTAATTTCAAAAATGTATTTTTGTTAGCACTTACACTCTTGGAAATGGGATCCAGCACTGGTGGGTTTCTGGATGCTTGCTGCACTGACCCAGGTGCATCACTTCCGCAGTCTGGGTCTGTTTAAATTTCACAGCTGATCCAGAAAACTGCCTGGGCTATCACCACGAGTTGATTCTTCTCCAGCAGACATGTTAACTAGCTGCTGCATGAAGTTACCTGTGACTGCTCTTAAGAATGTGATGGTGGCAGCGTGTCCCAACACATAATTTCACTCCCTGGTGTAAAGGTCCTTGCCACCATCCCTATCAGGTGGCAGCTGGGGGAATGCCAGAAACAGTCCCTCCAGACTGAATGCGACCTGTTGACAGATTTAATTACTAGGCCAGTTTCAAACCATCACATGCAGGGCTGATATTTGCTGGAAGGTCCTCTCTGCTTCTGGATAGTTTGTCAGAATTTTCATTTGAAATCCCACGTTGAATTTTACATTTCCACTGTTTGTGTAGAAACACATACGGACATTGTTGGCGTGAGAGTGAATGCCGAAGCACATCTGCATGTATTTGACTTCCTGTATTTCTCTGCATTCTCCCTACAGGACTCTGCACAGGGTCAGGTCATACAATTTCCAAAGTCCTTGAGGAGTGACCTCAGCATGCATGTTCAAGCTGACATCACTTATTATCATAGTGGCATTGAATGGGGTGCCCAGTATATCATTCTTTTTTATCAATGCTTCTCTTTCCATTGGAGAGACTCATGCCCAGTGCTCGTGGGGCTTCCTGACCCTTTTAATGGGATCACATCGCTGCAGCACTGGCAATATCCAGCAAATCCCTCCACTCTGGGGTACCACATAATCTTTGCAGTGCAGACTATGCATCAACCTCCTTAAGTCTCTGCTTTGCCTCATTTCAATCCCTACTCCTGGGACACATTTCCAGCCTGTAAATAACCCTGTCTGTGCTTTGATAGGTTCGGCCGGAAATCTATCCTCATGCTGTCATTTATGTTATCTGTCACATTTGGGATGCTGAGTGCCTGCTCCGTCTCCTACAGCATGCTGGCTGTCACAAGAACCCTCACCGGGGTGGCCCTGAGTGGTGTGTCCCTGATCATCTTGCCTCTGGGTAAGTATGGTGAGGCTGTGGGAGTACAGGTGCCCACTTCTTCAAAAGAGCAGTCGGGCACTGGCACAGGCTGCCAGGGAGGTGGTGGAGTCACCATCCCTCGAGGTGTTCAAGAACCACAGAGATATGGCACTGATGGATGTGATCAATGGGCATGGTGGGAATGGGCAGTGACAGTTGGACATGATGATCTTAGAGGTCTTTTCCAACCTTTATGATTCTACGATTCCGGCCAGCAGTTCCTGTTAATCACCATTCTTAATGCTTTAAAATCTGTAGATGAAGTATCTGCCCTTTTCCTCTGATACTGGGTTCTCATTTTTCACATGCAATTAAAGAAATTCACCAGTTGAGCAGGAGCAGGATGTTGGGTCATTCATAGCATGCTTCTTCCTCTCCAGTCTTAACTTTGCAGCAATTGTTTCCATCACATTCCTTATCTGTATTATTAGAAAGGCTGGAAAAGGAAAGAACACGAAAATAAAATCTCTGTGAGGCAAACTTGAAGTTAAGAAATTTAAGTAATGACATAATTAAAACAAGCTCCAAACTCCAAGCTACCCAACATAGCATCAGATGATTTTATAGGTATGTTTAGAATGCCCTGGGCAAGAGTCACAATACCTTAGAGCATATTACATGTGCTGCAGAAATTTCCAGAAATTTTGCAGATACACCCAAAAACAAGCTAAAAATCAGGAAAGGACAAATACACACAAGGTATTACATGTCCCAAGGCCTGCAATGGCACATTCTTATTGTAAAGGTGATGCCTACAATACAAATTAGAGATTGGGAAGGGCATTTCTGATTACTAGATGCTGTAGCATGATGTCAAAATCTCTGGAGGCAAATTGACTTAGTTCTCAAACAGAAGCAAGGGGATCACCCTTTGTTCTGGATTTACACATGCATTAATGTCTGTTCCACTAAGGCCAGTTCAGCTTAATTTATGTATACTATATTAATGATATACTTCTTGAATCTGGAATAATGCATAGGCAGAGAAATTGGAAAGGCAAGATACAACTGGAGAATTAGATTAAAGATTAGTTTGATGAAGGTGACCATTGGATGCTATTGAACAAGATAAAAACATATCATCCAGGGTGTTTTAGTATATGTCCAGAATTTCTTCCTTTAAAGCTTCATTTTAGTTGCTTTCAGCTTTGTCAGGAGTTAAGTCGTGGATGAACATTTAAAAAGGGCAAATATCAGTGGAACTCTGCTGGAGGAAAAGAGCAGGGATGTTGCTTCACTTTGCCCTTCCCACAAAGACCTGCAGACCCTCTCCTGGAGAAGCCCTGTGTGACCCAGCTGAATGCTGCCTCCCTCTTACAGGGATGGAGTGGGTGGACACAGAGCACCGCACCTTCTCTGCGGTCCTGACCAGCATCTCCTGGAGCGTAGGGAACATGCTGCTGGGCATGACAGCATACCTGGTGAGGGAATGGCACTGGCTCTTGGTTGCCGTGACGGGACCTTGTCTTCTGAGCATCATCTGCCTGTGGTGAGTGCAGCAACCTTTGGCCTGCTGCTGCTGGAACAGGAGCAGGATGCCGTTCATCTTTCTGCCCTGTGTGTATGGCAAATATTGCAGTATGCATCCTGGAATTGGATCTGGCAACCCTGAAAACCTTCAGAAATGGTGGCCTGGCCTTCCTCAACCTCAGGGTTGTTGTTTGGTTCATCTTGGACATCAGTGTGGATCTGGACCCACATTGCAAAAATCTCCCAGGGTAATGGGGAGCTATAGCTGGAAGCCACACGAAATAATCTGACTGATATACATGCAGACCCCAAAATGGCATGCATAACTGATAAGCAGAAAAGGTATAAAAATGCAAATGTGACTTTCAGCTGCCTAGAGAGGCATCTACAGGTGATGGTTTACTTGCTTACTATGCCTGTCCATCAGCATGAAGCAGCAGATGAAAAAGCTGCACCAACCAAATAGCTACCAACAAAATCTCAAATCATATCTGTGAAAAATGGGATGCATACTGATGCTGTTGTTAAACAATGGCTCAGAAGTAGACATGTCCTTTCAGCAGTGATGAATGGTTTCTGGCAGAGAGTAACGTCTGATGTTGATCAAATTCAAGACAATTAAATTTTATGTTCTGCTGCCTTTCAGGTTTGAGGTTTTGCTCTTTTTCTAGGACACCTAGTTGTAGAAGTTGAATCCTGGGAAATGTTGAAATTCATAGATACATTTGGATCCACCCTTTGAAAAATAGCTATATTTCTTTCTAGTTTGTTAGTGCCTTTTATGGAAATGAGTTCTCAAAAAAATTATGCTGTCTGATCAAAATTCAAGCAACCAAGAGGTCAGTGATTGTTGGATAATTAAGTCCCTGAAGAACAGAATCAAAACTTAATTTAACATATTCATTATATATTGTTGACACTAGACATTAGACAGTCAAAAGACATAACATACTCTGGAGATGGTGGCAAGGAGTGCAAAATGCCACCTTTAATTCTTTATATTTGCCAAAGTATTAACGACTTCTGGGAGGGAGCTGAAAACTTTCCATAGTCCAGTTCTGCAAATGATTTTGCTCCACACGTCCTTTTCAGCTCCAGATTGAATAGATTGAATAGTTCATTGATTTTACAGCAACCTGACTTAGGGCACACAAATCACCAACAGCTTTTAGGGAATACAGTGGGAGAAACCCAGTGAGAGACCTCAGTGAGAGACTTTGACAAACTCGTGAGCTCAGTTGATCTCTTACCCAAATATTCCTTCAAGCTTCTAACTGTACTTCAGTTGGGCTATATTGGAATTTTTGCATATAGTTGGAATGGATCTGACTGTGAGGCATTTCCAGTGTCTCCTGGACACTGACCACTATGCAGCCCCACACATGTTCAGGCCAGCAGGGCTGCACTGGGGTCTGGGGAGATCCAGGGCTGATAGTGCCATGTAGCTCACATGAATTGCAACCAGATGAAAGATCACAGAGAGGAACAAGGAGTTACAGATGCCAGTTTATGACTAGTGGTGGATCTTTTGCTAGGACAGAGAGGAAAAACAGGAGTTACAGGACCCCCACTCAAGGCACATCTGCTAAGTAAACCTCTCCAAGTTGCTAATTAGCTGTGCAGCATTAGAGCATCCCTTGTCACTCACTCACTAGCATGGCTTCTTCACTGGGGGCCGCAGTCACAATGATTTAGACTCCAGTGGATTATTTTTTGCAGAAGGCTTTGATTGTTGTGAACAACAAATAATTTAGCAATTAACAAAGAAACTAAGAGGTATAATCTCAGTGGGCCCACTAAATCCCTTCTACATAGTAATTTTTAATATTCTAAAATATCAGCATTTAAAGAATCTCAAAAATCATGAATATAAATCTAAATGAATCTATACATCTGAATAAATCTATATCTAGTGTCTAAATATAAACTTTCTGGGGCCAATTTTATTTGTTAAGAACTTGAAACTTCAACCAGCTCAGCAAATTCAAGCTTTGATCAAAAATCACATTATAAAAATTTTGGCTAGACATATTTCAACTAAGAGACAAGTTCTTTAAGGGTAGAATAGCATGTATGTGTAAAGAGGGTGTCCTACTTGTCTTAATCTCGTGCACCACAGTTGTTATTCTCAGTAGAGGTTAAAGTCTCATAGAGAAGATCTCCTCTTTTTGGCCAGGGCCATGTATGTGGGGTGGAAAACATGGGGTGCCAATAGGCAAGCTGTCTTCTCTCCTCGCACCAGGTGGGTCCCAGAGTCTGCCCGGTGGCTCATAGCCAACGGCAAAGTGAAACAAGCCCACAAGCATCTGCTTAGATGTGCAAGAATGAATGGAAGGAAAGACTTCACTGTCTCACTGGAGGTGAGAAACTGAAGATCCGGACACATTCTTCCGCCCATGTTTTCTCTTTCTCTCTGTTTTACTTCTACTTTATATCTGAAGTGATGCTCAGCCTGCAGTGTGATCTGTGGGACACCATAGTCCACAGGATGCCTTAGGCCATTTTGCTCTAGAAAGCATTTACATTCACTGCTAAAGAGAAAACTCACACTCGGTTCATGTAAGATCAGAATCCAACTTCAGTAGGTGGGGAGTCTTTCCATTCATCACTGTCATGGCAAGACACCTCATTGCACTGGACACTGGACACTGGACTGAGTATGCAGTGAACAAAGTACAGCTTGGAAAAATAAGGAGTTGGCACAGGCCAATGCTGACTTTGCTAGTGCTCTTTCTGCCACGTGGGATATGTGAGTAAGAGAGGCAAAGGGGCCATGGATGAAAAAAGAGCTCCAAAATGTTAGATAATCTCTTAAATGACGTAGGAAGACAAGCCTCTGGTAACGAATGCCCAGCAAATTGTTCTGCAATAGGAATATATGGGAAACTGAATGGGTTGATAAAATTAGGAAAGGCAACAGACCCCAGTCTGTCTACGATCTCATGTCTGGATGCTAAATGTACAGCAGCTGAGCTCTTTCCTTCTTCTCACATCTCCCAGGCTCTTAGAGGAATGACTACTGAGAAAAAGCCAAGTGAGAGTTTCTCCTACATCAGCTTGTTCAGGACACCAGTCCTGCGGAAGATCTCTGTGTGCTCTGGCACAGTGTGGTAAGCAGTGTTACTTCACACAAGGGATTCATCCTGCATTGCCCAGCTGATTTTCCCCCCATTTCAATCTCCATACGTTCCTTGCAGGTTTGGTGTTGCCTTCTCTTATTACGGCATGAGTATGAACCTAACTGGCTTTGGGCTCAACATGTATCTCTCCCAGTTTGTCTTTGGCATCATTGAGATTCCAGCCAAGATACTCATGTACGTGCTGGTGAATCGAATTGGACGGCGGCACTGCCAGGCGTGGTCACTCATCCTGACCGGACTGTGCATAGGAGCCAATATCATCATTCCTAAATGTGAGATGCTCTTCTGTTGTATGCTGAAGGGGAGGTATCCATTCTGTGCTGTGCTAGAGAAGGAAAAACATAGATCTTGCCCTATATAGAGACATCTTCCACCTGCAAGGACATTAGTGGGACAAGGCTGCTAATGTGGGCCAGCCCTACTATCTGGAGGCAGCAGATGTTCTCTAGTCACTGTGAAGCACTATAAGGCTAGTGATAACAAGGGAAGTGCCCATCCTATTATAGATATTTTCCAATGGGAAATATTGGGACTTAGCCTTCCATCCGTTCAGCTTCCAGTCAAAATAGCAGTCACCAAATTTTCAAACTGATTCAGACTGATTCAGCTCTTGGATGCAGCACCTACAGGGCTCTGAAGCTTCCAGTTCTGTCTCTTGGAGCCTTCTGGCACCTGTAACCACAAGAAACTTCTTCACATTTTTCTTTGACTATTGTCATAAATGTCTTTTCTTTCCTCCCAGCTCTCACTTCTCTACGCTCTGTGATGGCCATTATGGGCAAAGGTTTCTCAGAAGCTGCATTCACCACTGTCTACTTGTACACCTCTGAGCTCTACCCCACCGTCCTGAGGTAAGAGTCACTACTGCTTGAGGGCACCGCCAGATCCTTAGTGGGATGTCACCATCTGGTCTTGGCCACTGACACAGCAGGAGGTGCTGTTGGCTAGACTGCAGGACTGATCCCTTGCCTCTAAAGTAGCAGGTTTTGAGGATTACCTCCACTCACAAGAAATGGGCAGAAAGCTGTTATTTGCTGACCTGGGGTATGTGGGTAGGGGAATGTGTTGAATGGTGAGGAGTATTCTGTGGGACACACACTACCACACAAGATCGATAGCCCTCTGGACATCAGATGATAAAGCAGGGATTAAGTAGCCTTTTAGGAGAAAAAAGACAGTTCATTTGAAATATGTAGTTAATAATGACGTAAAATCACAGACAGGTCCTGGGATCCCTGTTTTATGCATGAAATGCCATTCACCCCCTGAAAATCATTAAGTGGAATAGGTTCCAGGTCCTATTTTTGGCCACATCTCCAGACTTTCCTAACTATAGAAGGACCAAAGGTGCTTACAGAAATCTCTAGTGCTTGGCATATGCCTAAAACTACCTGGGAGAGCAGGGACTTAAATTAATCTCCGCAGAAAAGAGGACATACAAAAGAGGGATGTGTAGAAAATGCACTCAGTTTTAGACTTTCAAAGAGAAAACATCTTTCGAGCAGATATTTGGCAACTATTGTCATTATATGAAGATGCAGAGAAGAAAAAAAAAAAAGATAGAAAAAGCCTGGTAGAGGAAAAATATAGGGGTGAGAAATCCCAAGATTTTCTCAGCTAGTGATGAGAAATCTCTAGATCTCCCAAAAAAATAGGAGAGGGAAGAGGGACTCCATTTTTTATTTTTTTATTTTTTGCAAGGTCTGATAGGAAAGAAGTACCCATGTCTTTCTTGAGGTATTCTACACTACCATGGTCTCCTACCTTTTCAGGCAGAATGGAATGGGATACACCTCCTTCACAGCACGCCTCGGTGGGTCTTTGGCCCCACTTGTGTTCCTGCTGGATGATGTGTGGAAGTCTCTGCCTGAGGTGACATACTGTGGTGTAGCAGTGTTCTGTGGCTCGGTGGCCTTCTTGCTCCCAGAGACACTCAATGTGCGCCTGCCTGAGCGCATTGAGGACATCGAGAAGACACAGTGAGTAAGCTCCATCCTGTCCTGCACAAAGAGTCTGCCAAAAGAGGCAGAGAAATGTCCCGTCTACCATCTGTAATTCCACATCCATGGGCAACAGCAGATCAAGTGACACTCCAGCAGGGATTGGGACTGCTAGGCCCTTTGCTCTTCTATCCACCAGCCCAAAAAGCATCTGGGGGTGTCAGCTGGCAGCTGGCTGAACATGAGTCAGCAGTGTGCCCAGGTGGCCAAGAAGGCCAACAGTATCCTGGCTTGTATCATTAGCAGCTGGGTGGTGAGATGAGGCACTGAGGGGCATAGTTAATGGGAATGATGGAGGTGAGATGGTGGTTGAACATGATGATCTTAGAGGTCTTTTCCAACCTTGATTCTATGACTCCATGATAGATTCTTTCCTTCCAGAGTGAAAGGACCGCTACAAACCAGCGCTCCTGAGGGTTTGCCATTACAGTCTCTTCTGAAGTGAAGGACTCCATGGAAAAGCCATAGACAATGTGAAGGACTGCAAAACTGAGCCGTAATCTGGCCTACCAATGGACTCTCCTCCTGGTCTCTCTCTGCAGGGAAGTGGGGCTGAGGATGTACATGGAAGGAGGTGGATCATAAAACCAGCTGGAGGGAGCCAACCCTGCTCTGCAGTGTGGTCAGGATCAAAAGTGCTCAGGTCTAACAGGATCTGGAAATAAAAGGACTCTAAGTTTGGCTCTTCCAGTCTTGTTGGACCAGCAGCACCTTTCAGATCACTGCACAGCCTTCCAGAAGCTATAGCTATATAGGTTGACAAACCACAAGAAATGTAAAAGAGCAATAAAAGCCACTGAGTGTGAATTGTACAAAAACAAATCTTAAATAAATCTAGCTGGATGGGTGAACCATAAACTGTAGCTACAAATATTTCTTGAATGTGGAAGTGGTCTGGAGATTTTCCACACTGAGACAAAGCTTATGAAAAGTAAATGCAGTGATTTTGCTGAGAATGGGATAACTGTAAGCATTTGCCCCAAATACAAAAAGATATATATATATATTGTAGATAATAGATATCTAGTGCATATAGTTAAAGGAACTCATGAATGTAATGTTGACAAATTCAGTACTGGACTTCATTCTGCTTACCAGTCCAGCACATCACTCTAAGATTTTGGGATTGCCTTGGCATCTTGCACTTCTGCAGATCACAGAGATGAGGCACCAGCCTATCAATAAACCTGGAATCCTGGCGAAGAGTAATACTCTAAACTAGGAGAGAGCGTGGCTTCAGCATTTGAGTCCCAGACACCGCGTTTTAAGGTAAGCCATGCGCAGGTCTATCAGCGCGCACAAACACGGCTCTGGAAGCAGATGAGGAGCCCATCAGATCCCAGGTCCAAGAGCGCCTCCTGGCAGAAATACGCTGCATAGCAAAATTTCCTTTACCACATTTCTGCTTTCAGGTAACAAAAGGAAAGCGAGCTGCTCGCAATCAGCCCGAGACCGGCAAGAGGCTTCCCTCAGCTCCTCTGCTCTGCGCTGAGCAAACCCAGCGGCCTCAGCCGCTTTTTTGGGACCTCTTCGGGACACAGCAAACAGGTGATGGAGAGACGCTGGGGTGCTTCCACGGCGAGGGGAAGTGCAGTTTGACAGAAGTGCGCGTTTACTGGTCGACTTCGGACTATCTGCAGGAAAATGGTCTCGATTTGCTGGAAAGGCGTTGTGATTTCCAGCAACCAACATGAGCACGCCATACCGATGGCGTTTTTTCCTGCTGTGTACGCAAGGAAAAACGGGGCGCTAACCAAACCGGGAGCTGCTCTCCTTCCTGCCAGCTTTGCTAAAAGACGCAAACTGCCCGAGCCCCGGACCGGTGCAATCAGATGACTGCGGTCGACTGCAGAGCGTGCAGGAGGCAAAAAACAAAGACACTCGTTAAGCTTTCGCCCTTTCCCTTCGACCCCCCCACGCTCTTCCCGCCCCCTCCCTCAGTCCGGAGCGCGGGACCCGGTGCCGAAGGGGCGCTTCCCGCGGCGTCGCCCGGAATCGGGGCCGCATTACGTCACTCCCTGACGCCATCTTGCACGGCTCCGCTTCCGGGTCGCTCCGAGGAAGGCGGGGCGGGGGCGTGCCGCACCGGGGCGGGCCCACCCTCCCCCCACCCCGGGGTAGGCCCGTGCCGGGGCCTCCCCGCCCCGCAGCCGCCGGCGCCTCGCGGTCCCTCCCCGCGATGAGCTCAGCCCTGCGGCGTGGCGCGGTGCGGGGCGGGTGGCGCGCAGGGGCGGGCGGCCCCGGCCATGCGGAGCTCGGCCGGGAGGCGGCGAGGGCGGCGGCGGCGGAGGGCCCTGCCTAGGCTGCGGCGGGGCCCCATGGGCCTGGGGCACCCGTCGGGCCCCCGGGGGTAGGCTCGCCCCGCCGCCATGTACACCTTCGTGGTGCGGGACGAGAACAGCAGCGTCTACGCGGAGGTCTCCCGGCTCCTCTTGGCCACCGGGCAGTGGAAGCGCCTGAGGAAGGACAACCCCCGCTTCAACCTGATGCTGGGCGAGAGGAACCGGCTCCCCTTCGGCAGGCTGGGTAAGGGAGAGCCGTGGCAGCCTCCTTCGTCGCCGGGCGTCTCTCGGTTCTTCCCGCGGGGACCCGGCTAGGCGTGGTGCCGCTCCCCTCGGCCCGAGCGGGCCCCGGTTCAGGGAGGGGGACCCCGCGTCAGGGCGCAGCCCCCCGGCTTGTCACGGCCTCTCGTCCTGCGGGCCCCTGGGGCCTGCCGCTCCCCACCCCTTACCAGTCATGCTCATCCCCATACGTCTGCCGGGCTCCTTGTCGCAGGACCCCCGCAATCGGCGTCGCTCAGAACAAAGGGCTGAGGCCGGTGGGTCCGTGCGGCGCTTCCCAGCCCTGGGAGGGGGTTTCTCCAGCAGCCTCACAGCCTGAGGTTGGGCAGTCCTGGCTGGGGACCGCCGCCCCTCTGCTGAACTCGAAGTATCACCTTCCCCAAGTGCTTTCAGGATGGTGTCTCTGCAGTCCCCCCAGAATGCCCGGCCTGGGGCTGCAGGGTGGAGGGGCTAAGACGCTGGCACACAGGGCACTCACTCCATAGCAGGGCATTCCCTTTATTTGCCTCTTGCATGTTGGGGGCACTGGTTTCAGGATCCCCTCTGAGCCTGCCTCATCCTGCAGCAATGCTCTTGAGGCCTTTTTCTGTTCAGACTGTGAACACATCTGGTTCTTGCTTGGGGCAGGGTGAAAGGCTGTGTGTCTGTAAGTTAAGCCTTCCACCCTCCTTGTCTCCCCTGCCAGCATGAGTGGCCATGGCTGAACAAGACCTGAGGGCTCCCCCGTACAGATTTGTCTCTTGCCTGCCCTGCACAGTGCTTGTCCAGTGCTGGACAGGGAAGAGCCTGAAAGCAGGGAGAGAAACGGCCATGCTCAGCCCAAAAGCAGGAAGAGCCATGCGAGGCGCTTGCAACAGTGTGGGGTGGGGTGGGAAGCAGAGATGCAGTGTCATTGCCCGTGGCTGGTGGCAAGCTGGCTGGAGCTGCAGGGCTGGCAGCTGTCCGTGCAGAGTGCCAGCTGCTGTTTTGGCCCCATGCTGGCTCCTGTCCCCAGGAGTGCTGAAGCCAGTTTAGGATCAGCATGCTGCTAAGCACAGCAGTGTTTCCCTTCTGTGGTCCCCTATTTCTGCATCAGAAGTCTGGCAGGACCCTCCTGGCCTCCTTCCATCTCGTTCACCACGGTTTCCAGTGATTTTGCAGCACTGCTTCAGGCTGCAGAAGCACTGGATAAGGAGAAATCCCCTCACCCCATCAACTTGAGGGCAAGACTGCTTTTCCAGCCCCTTTCATGTAATTCAAACCAAGCACCATTCAATCAGCACTGCTCTTTCAGATCTGCAGTTCATCAGTTCCAGCACCTCTGCCCTTGTTTCCACGTGAATTCGCAACTGGAAAGTTCCCATGGCAAATGCCGTCTGGTCACTTCCCAGCACAAAGCTGTTTGCAGCAAGCAGAGGGGAAGCTAAAGCAGTGAGGATGCTCACAGGTGCTGCAGCCAGCCGCAGCAAGCAAAGCTGTACCCTAATGTGCCGGGTATGAAGATGTGACTTTGATCATCAGACTTTGTCACAGACCCAGCACGGTCCTCTGATGTGACCTGCACAGCATGTCCAGCTGTGCATTTCAATCTCTTTAACAAACCTTTCCATAGTGGAGAAGAGCCCAGGGATGATGGAAGGGCTTCAGCAAGCTCTTCAGCATGTGTTGCAGTGGAAAGCCTGAAAATTTAAACCCTTCATGCAGCCGAGATGCAGCAACAACTGTTAGAGGGGGACTAAACTTTGGTACTGGCTTCTTCAACCCATCCTTCTATAGCAGGAGCTGGTTGCCTGAAATCAGTAGATTCAGACAAAAACCATGGGTTTGGTATGCATTCCAAAAAGCTGTAGAACTATCTCTGGTATATCTTCCTCCAGCTGTCCCTCTGAGCAGCTGTTGCGTGCAGGCTGACTTGGTTTTTCTGGAGGCTTGAAACAGACGTCATTTCAGAAAGCTGTAAGGCTGTGCATCCTAGGAGAGAGATGGAGGTGGGAACTCAGCTGGAGCCTCTGGCTGGCTGCAAGCACTCCAGTTGTACTCACTGATTTCCTACTTCTTGGGCTAACCGTGCCCTTAAGCAGTGAGTCCACTTGGAATAGTGAGGTCATCTTTGGACCTCAGTTCTTATAAGAAGCAAGCAAAATAAATAAACTGGAAACAGAAGGAAGTCTTGAGAGTTTTTGCTAATTTCTTTCAGTAAATCAGTGTGTGACAGTGTATGACATGTTAAAGTACCTGAAATTGCAGATCTTTTGCCAAAAGATGGGTTTCAGCTTTCTCACATTTAAGGATCTGTGAATAAAATAGTGACCCATAGTTTTTTTGTTTTCTTTTTTTAATTGAAGTAGATGTTGACTATCTGTGATCTTGCAGGTGCCTGGTCTTTCAGTTAATGTTTTCTCTGGATTTTTTTTTTTTATTTTTTTTTTTTTTCAGGCAAACTCCAAGGAGGGTAACTAAAACTCTGCATGCTGTTCAGGGCTTAAATCACTCCCACAGGCATTTGTTTGGAATGAGAAGGCAAAAATGCAAATAATGTCATGCCTGGGAGTTTCCCTCAAGGTCATGTTTCAGACCAGAGTGGTTTCCTGTCAGATTTTCCCTATTCGTGTTCCTGTTGGTTGTTGTCACAGGGCCCCAGGTGTTGCTTCAGGCATTGTTCACCTGTTGCACGTTGATGGCTGTGTTGCTGCCCGGATCTGCATTACCCTCCATCCTGTTGCAGCAGAGAGCTCTTAATGGAGCACGGGTGTCTGCACTGTGTTTAAGGGTGAGGACAGGCAGGCTGTGGTGTGAAGCCCAGTATGAGCAGTGAGGCTAAATCTTTCAACATTTTTCAGTGTTTTAACTGGGCCCGAAGGGAATCCTGCTAAAAATGACAAAAGAAAAGCAAAATCCCTATGGCTGTTTTCTAAGCTGTGATCTTTGTGCTGTGATGTACTTCATCTTCCTACTGCACTTGAGTGAAATCTTGGCTCTTAAAAACTGCCACCAGCAAATGGAGAATGTTTTTGGGTGGCTCTGCCAGTTCCCAGTACAAATTAGGAAATGGTTATTTTCCATTGGAAAATGGCAATGGCAGTTTCAAAGCAGACTTGAGTAAGTGCATAGGCCTTCTTCCCTGAAGGAAAGAAAATAGCAGAGCCGGTATCAGCTCAGTTCCTATTTCTTTGACATGGGGCGAGGAGACAGACTGGTTTTCTTCCCTGCTGCATGGGTCCCTTGCACCAAGCAGGTGTTTTTTCCTTCAGTAATTTAAGTTTGTCTGACCCTTCTATTTTTCCTTGTAGGCCACGAACCTGGACTTGTGCAGTTGGTGAATTATTACAGGGGAGCAGACAAGCTGTGCCGCAAAGCATCCCTGGTGAAGTAAGAAATTTACTGAATACTTGCATGGGGTTGGTAGAAATATTTCTGCTATCTGTTGTCAACAGCTCAACCTGTTCTTAGGGTATTTCACTGAACAGTTGCCCTGGGAATGTCCTAGCACGTGCTGTCTTCAGATCCCTGCTTTGATCTACGCAGATATCTGTGCACAATGACCTCTCTGTAACTTCAGGGGAAATGGCATTTCCACTGAATTACATCTGCTGGAAAAATAGAGTATATTGAATCAGGCAGACAGGGAGCTGCAGATTAGAGCCAAATCAAAGGAAAAACAAACAAACAAAAAAAGAAAAAACAAACCATATCTGCTCTTTCTCCTTGTAGCTACTTGATTAAAACCTACTCCTTTTATTCTGATTCATACAGAGGGGAGGCACTAATATGCCTTTAGCTAATCATATTTGTTGGTCAAGCAAATGTCTGGAGACATCTCCAGGAAGAGCTGGCTCTGGAAGTTATTTCTGCACGACCAGCCATGCCACAGTCTCCTGGGGAAACAACGGTGAGCTTTCATTGCAGATAACCCTAGTCCCCCTGCAAACCATTAGGGCCTCTTCATGTCAGAACTCTTGGCCTCCACCAAGAATCTCATTCCATGTTAGTGTCCGTCCTGCCTCTTGCTGATGCAGTTCTGCAGGCTGCATGTTGCTCTGAGGCCTCTCCTTCCTCTGCAAAGAACCTGGTCCCAGAAGCTTTCTGTGCAGTGGTGATAGTGTCAGGCACTAAGAGTATATTTTAAACAAGCATTTGATGCACTCCCCAGCTGGATTTCTGTGCCACCAAGGATCTGGACAAGGATCAAAAATATTTCTGCTTTTTTTTCTCTTCTGAAGCTTGGCTGACCTTTTGAGCTCTAGAGTCAGCCACGCATCAAGACACTTATGAACCCAAGGGACCAGAAATGACATTCCTCTGACAGTGGGATCTGAGGGTGTCACTGCCTGACTGCTATTTCAACAGACAGGCACAAATATATGGAGAGAGTCAGCACATAATTAGCTCTGCTTTTGGCCTTCAGCAAAACACAGCAAATGTTCAAAGAGGCAGGCAGCTTCCTGGACTCTGAAGGATAACAAACCTGAGCGCCACTGGCAGGAGTTTGCTGGCATCTCTTGATATAACTGATAGGAGAAAGTATCTGCTAGAGGGAACAGAGGCTGCATGCAGAGGGTATCCTGGGCACCTCAGAAAATGAAACGTGTAGCCGTATCCTTGCCTTCAGTGCATTCCCAGTGGCCTTCCATCACAGTTAAGGTGTCTGATCTGATCTCAGTGGGAATGCGATCAAAAGCCCAGCATTACTGCTTTGGCTCTTCTTTGCTGTTATTACAGCTTCCTTCTTGCCCTGTTGTGTATTTAGCAATCGTGCCTCCTCAGTGGCCTTGTGCAGAGGGGTCACTGCAAGCTCTAATTAGAGTGGTTTCTCCTCTGCTGGTTGTTTCATGACACCCATAGTATCTAGAAGATATTTAACAGAAGTGTGTAGGTCTGGTTCAAAGAGCTGCGGTTTTGAGTTGCCTTAATCTGTATAGGAAGACCCTAATTTCAAAGACAGAAAGAGAACACAATAACTGAATCCAGATTATCTGTAAGATACTATTCATCACCAAGCAAAGAGCCCAGTTAGTAGAGATTTGTACTTATTAAATGATGTCCTCACAGGTCACTCTGGAGATTAACAATTTGGAAATTATCAGCCTGTATCTTTTCATCTAGGCTAATCAAGACAAGCCCTGAGCTATCAGAGTCTTGCACGTGGTTTCCCGAGTCATATGTGATTTACCCAACAAACTTGAAGACCCCCGTGGCTCCGGCGCAGAATGGAATTCACCATCTTATAAACAACACGAGGACAGATGAGAGGGAGGTCTTCTTGGCAGCTTACAACAGGCGTCAGGAAGGCAGAGAAGGCAATGTGTGGATTGCCAAGTCCTCAGCTGGTGCCAAAGGTTCGTTCTCCACCAAAATGAGCCACCTTCTCAGTATTCCTTCTAGATGAGTTATGGGGGTTGGTTGAGCCCAAGCCTGTCTGTGAAAGGCTTTGGCTACTGCTTAGTGACGTGGAACTCCTTATGTGAAGGATATGCAATCTGTAATGTGCATATGGTAGGCGGACATGGATGGCAGTGAAAGGACCCCCTTTTTTCTACTCATACACCTCAAAATATAAGAAGGTTTGCTGCAGGGGGAAAGCAGCAGGGAGAAGCAGGCCAAGGGAATGTGGGCTATAGGAGATGAGGGAGCAGAATGAGATATAAGAAGGAGGGCATCAAACAGGTCAGTAGTCGTCCATGACAGCAGGAAACATTATCATGCTGTATCTAAACCTGATTTCAGCTGAGCAGAAATACCAATGTTTGTCTTCCAACCAACTCAAATACCTGGTGCCAGTGGCCAGCTCATGGTCACACTTGAGAGTGAGAGTCAATGAGCTCAGTGTATCCAAATTGTATCCAAACTGTGGGCAGGGAGCAGAGCAAAAGCAAGCAATGCAATATCTGTACTCCCTTAATTTGAATAAGATACATAATAGATAACATACAGATTCTTAAATGATAACGTATCCCTCCTTCCAAAAATTATGAGCTATTAAGATGAGATAGCTGGACACAGCTATGAATGTAATGCTTTGGTAATTATCCTATCTAGCATCATAGCAGTATCACTGGCATGCTGGTAGAATTGCTTTATGGAAACTTGCTTTGCTGCTTGTGAAGAACTCGGTCCATTCAAAGGTAGCAAGGCCACATGCACATTTGCAGAGTCTTTTCTGATGCAGCTTTACAAAAATCATCAGGCAGTGTGAAAGCCAGAGGTGAGTGGCTGCAGGATATAACTTTCCTTCATGCAGGCTTTCCTCAGTGTTCTGCTTTCATGGCTGTGTTACTGCAAAGCATCAGAAGACTGTATTTTTCAATGGGGAGGAAGGGGAAATGGGTCCTTTTATCACACTGCCGATAGGAAGTGTGTCTGTTTAGTGTCACTGGCAAAGAAGCAATCTGGAAAACTGAAAAAAGTGGCTGTTGTTTGCTGCAGCATGAAGAGATTTAAACTCCCCACATATTTTATTCAAATGTAATCTCACCTTCTTTTCTACATTAAAGTAACTTTTTGTATTCGTCGGTGTGCTGCAGGATTCAAGATGGGAATTCATGTGGTGAGCAAACCTGATGTTAATCTTCTAGAGAGCAGGTCTAAATGTCTGGGGATTACTTCTGATGAAGAAGAAAGCTTGTCAGTATTAATTGCCCAGCCAGACTCAGTTAAGGCACAACTCCTGACTCTGAGGAGTTCTAGAAGAAACTTGATTGTCCATCAGTAATAGGAAGACTAAAGGTTTAGGATGCTCTGACTTAATAGCTGAGAGATTTTTGTGTTGTCTTTGAGAACAGAGACAGTGGCCCTCACATAAGCTGCTTTTCTGTCTCACTGGGCTGCTGACTAGGTGCACAGTTAAGCTAACCACTCCCTCAGTTCACCATCTGTCCAGCACAGAACAGATACTTGCTGATTTTCCTACTGCAGGGGCTTAGAGATGCTGTTTTCCTCCTTTCCCCCCGTGCTTAGCCCTGTGACTGTACCATTGTAAGTGTCTGCTTGGCTCTGCTGTAATCAGGGAACTAAAAAACTTCCTTCTTGTCCTCCCCCTGCACCCCCCTCTCCCCCACCCACTAGAAAAAAAGAAAAAGGAAAAAAAAAAGAAGTATTTTAATGAAGCGTTTCCAGCTGAGAATTGTTAGATAATTTTGTTTGAGCTTGTTTGAGTGGATTTGTTGCTAGACTTGCAAGAAATGAACAGTGACAGCTTCAGCCAAAATGTGATAGTATTTAAAAGATGTGTCTAAATTCTTTAATGAATAGTTTCCATGCAGGGGAAAAAGCTGATTACGTGAATGAGCATTTTGAAACAGTTCTTTTCCTAATTCAGCAGTGGTTTCAGCAGTAATTTAAATGGACTCAGTGAGCAGAGGAACACAGTTTGCACATGCATGCATGTGTGACTGCCTCTGGCAAAGAGAAAAGCTGAGCGGGGGAAGAAAGTCTGAGTCTAGGAGAAAAACAAACCTCCCTTCCCAAAGAAACAAAATAAATAAAAACCTCACAAACTGCCAAAACCCTGCTTTCCAAATTGCTGAAAAACAGAGAAAAGCAAAACAGAACTAAAAAATGCTTGCTAAATGTTCCTCCCTTCCAAGACCAGATGGAAAAAAACTTGCCAGAAAAGGAAACAAAATCCCCCATACAAAGCAGCTGCCTCACTTCTTGCCAAGGTCTCTCTCTGCTGTGCATCCACTTGCATCTAAAATAGCTGCCTACCTGCCAAAAAGCCCCTTGTTATCTCTGGAACCTGTGGTGCCCAGCTATGCTCCAGCTGTGAAGAAACCAAATTCCCTGTGCTGAGGGAAGAGGGATATAGCTCTGCCAGTCTGCTACCTGGCTTCATGCAAATGTGACAATTGCTCAGGCAGCAATCAGCTCTGAAGTTGTTGGTTCTTGTATATTGCTTGTTTTGTCATGGGAATGAGCTATGACCCACTTGGGCCTGGAAAGAGCTCCAGCAATGATCTTTACCAATTTCTTTTCTTTTCTGTGCCAGGGGAAGGGATCCTGATTTCTTCAGAGGCTTCAGAGCTCCTGGATTTCATTGATGAGCAAGGACAAGTGCACGTGATTCAGAAATACCTGGAGAAGCCTCTTCTTTTGGAGCCAGGGCATCGCAAATTTGATATCAGGTAACTTGCTTGCTTTTTTGGCTACTGTAATACTGGTTTGTGCTGTTTCTTGTTCAGCCAGTGGGACGTGAGTTTGTTCTCCTTTCCCCTAGGAGCTGGGTTCTCGTAGATCATCTATATAATATCTACCTCTACAGAGAGGGTGTCCTGCGGACCTCTTCCGAACCATATAACAGTGCTAATTTCCAGGACAAAACCTGCCACCTGACCAATCACTGCATTCAGAAGGAATATTCCAAAAATTATGGGCGGTATGAGGAAGGGAATGAAATGTTCTTTGAAGAGTTCAACCAGTATCTGATGGATGCCCTGAACACAACGCTGGAGAATAGCATCTTACTGCAAATCAAACACATAATAAGGTAACCAGCTACCTATTGTACAGGGATAGATAACCCCTGAGTGACAGAGTGTGTGTGTGAACACAGCTGGGAAGGCAGGCAGATAAGGGAGGAGTTTCATTTGCTTGGATCAGGGGTTGTGGCTCAGAGATACATTGAAGATAAAGCCAGGACCCCAATGTCATTGCTCAATGGTAAAGCAGATAAGGGACTATATAGGTGCTGTTCTCTAAAAGCAGTGTACCAATATGTGTGCATTTTGCTGGCTGTAGCTTGATAAGGGAGTGAGATGACTTGGTGGGGGAAGAGGGTAGGTCAAATGATAGATCTAGGAAAGGTTGAAGTGAAAAAAGACATAGGGCATATGAGTGGAACTGAAGCAGGACTCAAATCTGCAGGATCTCAGTGCTCCCCTGCTGTCAGCAAGCGGCGTGCCTTGCTGCAAGGCATTTTGTCTTATTAATTCCAAGCAGAGCTAAGCTAGCTTTGTCAGCTGCTTCCTGGGCACTGAGGGAATTGTCTGGAGAGATAATGGTGCTGGAGAGAAGCTGGGTCTTGAAAAAATGGTCCTCCATGGCAGAATTTCCTTTGCAAATACTCCATTGCTATTACTTAAGCCACAGAGACATAACTTTGAGGGTTTCAGTGGCAAATGAGCTCCAGGTGTCAGTTCCCTGGGGACCTGGGTACAATCCTTTGTGGCTCTGCCTTCTGCAGCAGCAAGTGACCCATCCACTTCTCTGTACTGTGCACTCGCCCTCAGAAACTGCAGCGCAGACTGTGTCTGCAGGGCTTTTAACCTTGTGTTTGTGCTTTTCCCATCACAGAAGCTGCCTTATGTGTATAGAGCCTGCAATCAGCACAAAGCATCTTCACTACCAGAGCTTCCAGCTCTTTGGCTTTGACTTTATGGTTGATGAGGAGTTGAAAGTCTGGCTCATAGAAGTCAATGGGGCTCCAGCTTGTGCACAGTAAGTAGCCAGCTTCTGTAATACATTTGTGATGCCACTGTTCTCATAACTTGCTTAAAACATGGCTGCATACCAGCTCCAAACAAAAAAGGTGGAAGAAAGTGAATGGTAGGGGCCTTTCCCAGGCAAATCCATACCAGATATTGCTCTAACTGCCAGTCAATTTAAATTAATTGCTGCTGCCTCTGTGCTTGGCCTCCCCCAGCATCTTTCCTTCTTAAATCTCATTTTCTGAACAACTGGATCTGAATATAACTTGGGTTGTTTTTACTGACACCATGGGGTATGTTGCAGAATTAATGCCTTTGACCTCAGGTGGTTTCTCATTCTCTTGTAGAGACAGTGGTGGCTGCTCTTCACGTGAGCACAGAATAATGTGTAGCTTTAAAGGTAACAGCTGAATTCACTGAATTTGCAGGCATCGGGATTCCAGAGCAGTCTGTGGATGCCTCAGACATGAGATCAAATGCTCTACTAGCTGCAGCTGAGAGCTGTGACAACCACAGCCACAAAGCCATGGCCATGAGCATCTCTGCATAGGCACAGTGAGAAGTGCTGTGTCATGGGATTGAGACAACTGTGGAAAACTAGGAATAGGATGCCTAAATAGGCATCTATACCATATACAGACCCAGCATAGCAGGCTGTTCCACATTGTCTGCATTATTATATTTTTAAAATTGTTTGTATATACGTATGACTATCATATATGCTGTAAATAGTATGATAACATAATTATATATGTTATATTATGTGCATCAATCTATATTAGATATAAATTAGAGCAAATCATTGCTAATACCAGAGAAGGAAATAAGGGGTCATCCTACCAGGCAGCCCAGACAGAAGCCTTTTCAGAGCTAGACCTTGGGGGGGGGGGGGTTTGTTGTCCAGAATGTCCTGTTCATTATGTGTACCATGATGCAATTCTGCCTGGCACCTCCTTTTTGATATGTGGGTAGAATTTGGCTTCTGCTGCATAGGTTTGGGTTTCAACAATGCTCTGGTTGCTTTGTACCTATGTATGGCACTTGGAAGCCTTGAGAAGCAGATGAGCTAAGTTTTGGTGGCTTTTTCTCTTCAGGGCTATTCTAATTTATAGCACTGGAAGCAGCAACATGCCCAGAAGCTGAAAAAGTGTCTTACTGTCATGAAGCTCCAGCTAGAGTGACATTGTTAATTCTAGTAAAGACAGCTTTAGTGCTCTGTGTCCCATACTCCAGCGTGTTCTGTGAGGTTACACAGGTATTACCTTCAGCAGAAAACGAAGCTGCTGTTAACTCAATTCCTCAAACACAGTGTCTCTCTTCTTCCTAATCCTGCTCTGTATGAACCTTACCATTATGAAACTCTTCCAAGGAGTGGTGTTGTGAAATCTCTGTGCCTAGCTTACAAGTTACTGTGCACAACTGCACATCATTGCAGAATTTCATCAAATCACACGTACATCAGAGAAGTCTCTCTGGGGCACAGCTCCACACCTCCACTTGCACAGGGTCATGATGATCATGACTCGCTGAGCTGGGAAACTGCTACAGGGTGTTCTCAGCAGTTGTCTTCCCCCATGCATCTAGTGGTGAGAGTCCTGAAGGTGGGAGACACTGCTGAGCAACTACAATGTCTGTTGTTCTGACAGTAAACTCAGATAACAGGTTTTCTGGTCCCAAGCTGCAGAGAGCAATGTTGTGAATGGGAGCAACGTTAAAAAAGAAGACAGTTGCTGAAATAGGAGGGGAGGATATCAAGAAATGCCTGATCCACCACTAGCCTCCCTGGAGCCACTGTAACAGCAGCAGGATCTTGTAGCTCCCTTTGGGAAAATGCATGCCTATATGAAAAGAAGTTGGGAGACCTGCTGGTTTGCTCTGTTTGGGCATCTTACTCTGTCTCTCTCTCATCTCTTAGGAAGCTATATGCGGAACTCTGCCAAGGAATTGTGGATGTAGCCATCTCTAGTGTTTTCCCCCTTGCTGACACTGGACAGAAGGCAAGCCAGCCAACATCGATCTTTATCAAACTGTGATGATTACAGGAGTGCATCTGCTGTGCACAAGGAGAGACTGCACCCATTGGGTCAGCACTGTTTAACGGCCTATCTCAGTATTATGCCAAAAAGTGATAGGGACAGGCTTCTCTTTTTTTCTGGAAGGTCATGGAGAAAAACAACAAAACAGGCATCTACATAAAGCTGCAATGAGCCAGAGCTGCTGAGACAACTCTGCCTGCATTCACCAAAATCTACTTTAGAAAACAGCTCATGTGACTTTGATACCTGAAACAAATCTCTGGGAGTATAGCAAAATAACCTTAAGATGAAACCCCAACAGGGATACTATAATACTGTATTAGCTCCTCCTTTTCTATAGAGATAACATGGGTGTTTTATTTTGTTTTGTTTTTTTAAGGCAGTTGAGTGAAGACTGCAGTGATCTTCTGGGATGTCATGGTTGGAAAGTTTTACTCCTCCCACTATGTTTCTTCTTTCCTCACCTACTGCATCATTAGTGCCTTAGCTCAGCTCCAAATAGGTTACTCCTTTCCTTTGTTCCTGCTCTATGCTGTAGAAAGGAACAAGCTGTCTTGCATCACAGGATGCATAACACTAGGAACACCAAGAATTCAGTTTCCTTGGGTATTTTCAAAGCTGGCTGGCTGAACACCCAAGCAATGACTGGCAAGGATGCTGTTGGAAAGGGTGCTGAACTGCAGGCAGTGAATTAACCGAAGCAGGGAAGGCAGTTTGTTTATTATAGTTATCCCTTTTCCTAATGAGATTTGATCAGTTTCCATCCAAGTCTGATGCAGTTGGACTCTGTTTAAAACAGGTGGAGAGACTTTCCCTTGGGGCTCACCTGCAGGCCATTAGATTTCTAGCATCATTTCTGTGCTAGGAGTGTTTCACATAGCTGGAAGCCAATCTTCTCAGCTTCTTCTGAGACTCTGATGTGAATTTAGGCTCTTCTCTCAGCTTTCAACTTTATGCCCTTGAGGCTGGAATCTGAAACCTCTCAAATTGAATGATTTTTATTCTTTTTGATCCAATCAATTTGATTCTCTTCTATTTGACAACTTAATACCACAATCCACTGCTCAGTCCCAGCTAAGGGGAAGATGGATGAGATATTGCAGACCAGGATATATTTTGCGTATAGGTTTGCCACACAGCTGGGGCAGGGTGATATTCTTGTGGGGAAGTTAAATTTCTTGAGGACCCTGAATTTCAGAGCTAACATCTACTCTGAGTATACCCTAAGTCCTTGGCATATTACCCATTCTGTGAAGTTTATCTGAATTTTTAGCATAGGCCCAGCAAACCCTTCCTGAGCTTAATGTTCTGTGTGGAACACAGCTGCGTTTCTAACAGCAGCTGGCTGTGTGAGTGGTATCTGTCTGTGCTGTACCCCAGATTTTCATATGAAGAGTCAAAATTCAACAACTAGATCTCACTGTTCAAGAGACTGTAGCAGTGTCTGCGAAGAACTGAGTGCTCACAGGGTGCTGCACGCTGGTGGTCCTGAGTTAGGAGTTTCTTTCCATGTTGCACACGATGCGTGGATGTATGTTAGCTCTGAGGTTACATGTTTGAAAACATGCTTCAGGGCAGATTGCAAACAAGTGCCTGCTCAAGCAGCGCAGAACTGATTCGCAGTGAGGAGGGAAGGACATGGATTATCTGATTGACATCCCCACACACTGCGTAGGAAACCGTCATGGAAAACCGCAGCTCTGGGGGTTTGAATTGATTGCAGCAGGAGAGCAGAGTGTGCTGCTGAGGTCAGGACTGTGTTCTGCTGCCCCTGGCAGGGAGAGATAGTTGGCACAGAAATAAACTGGTTCCTGTTACCCAAAATAAACAAATGAGGAGATTATGGAGGTTACAGTCTTCTGGCTGCCTGTGTGTAATGGGATGCAAATCAAGGAGAGGGATTTCTGCCTCTCACAAGATCCTGGCGTTGTGATGTATTTGTCTCTGCTCATGACTGAAATGTCATGGTCTTTGTGCCAGCTAAAGGCTCTGCAAACAGACAGTCCTGCCACCTTTCTGTAGGCAGAACTGAAGTGTACTGGCCTCCTTGGAGTAAGGCATTTTGATTGTACTGTAATGGCACAGACGCCCATTGCAAAATGCTGTGGATCCACGCATGGCGCCATTTCACACCAGGATGCTTAAATCCAGAAGAGAACAGAGCACTTGGCAAGACCCAGCAAAAGCACTGCAGAAAGGAAGCATTCCAGAAGGCCACATGAACACCTCTGAAGTTGTAAATGCTCTGAGTGCTGCATGCATCAGCATCTGCCCAGTGTGTGGCAGGCACAAGGTGAGTTGATCTACACTGAGAAGCGACCAGGAGCAGTAGCTACAAGAAAGCGGCTTTGCTGTGTTCCTCTGTGCTGTGTGTAAAGGATCCTGGGCTGCAAAGTGCTGTGAGGTGGCTTTGTTTCTGAGCAGGACTCCCAAGTGCCAGGTCTGGTTTCTGGCTTTGGAACTTGTGTGTATGCTGAAGGATCACCCTGAGCTCTTTGGCTCATGGGTCAGGAGGCAGTGGGGAAGTAGTGAGTCATAGACTGCGAGAGAGGAGATGTGGGAAAAGAACTGGTTAGTTTTTTTAATCTTATGGTAGCATATGAGGTGTCAAAATTTCCATGCAAACCAGGCAAAGCATGGTGGTAGCATTCCATGGTAAACAGTTAGGCTGTAATGGTTAACTGGCAAAGCTACCTGTTCATAGAATCATAGGGTCATAGAATTGCTCAGGTTAGAAAAGACCTTCAAGATCATGGAGTCCAACCACAACCTAACCATACTACACTAACTCTAACAACCCTCTGCTAAATCATGTCCCTGAGCATCAGTTTTTAAACATATCCAGGGATGGTGAATCAACCACCTCTCTGGGGAGCCTATTCCAGCGCTTAACAACCCTTTCTGTAAAGTTTTTCCTCATACCCAACCTAAGCTTACCCTGGTGCAACTTGAAGCCATTTCCCCTTGTCCTGTCACCAGTGAGAAGAGACCAACCCTACTCTTCCTGTAAGCACCATGTTCACCATGTCTCCGTTGGCATTTTCATGTTAGCTTAAAACTAGCTTAAACTAATGTGAGCTTAACAATACAACTTATTCCCCAGCAAAGACAGGACCTGATAGCAGTCACCCTTGTCCAGGATGTATGTGAGGTGACAGGGGACGCTGAATGGTCTCAAGCTACTCAGTGTGCAGAGTGAGAAAATAAAACGTTCCCTGTGCTAAAGAAATGAAAAACACTCCAGCCATCTTTATTTTCTTCTCAAAAGGGAAATGTGAAAATTGAATTGCTCCCTTTCTTAGTGTACAGATCCATGCTGGTGGAGTGACATATGCCAGGAAAGCAGCCGGGGTGTAGAAAGATGCAGTGTCCTTCAAGGGAGCAGCAGACAGCCAGGAGACTCAGGAACATCTGCCCAACTCTTAAGGCCTTTTCTTCCCCTGTTTTCATCTGGGGTTGCACTGTGGTACGTTACCACCTGGCTGTTTCTGCTGCACCCTTAAAAGTAGGGCTTCTGTTCAGTGGTAAAGCCATGACTACAGGTGGTGCAGGTGCTTATTATCTATTTCAGCTGGGTTTCGGGGAGCTGGTGATTCAGGGACACTTTGATCATTGCTATCTGTACTGAATTCTTAAAAATAAGCAACAGCTGCTGGAGGAAAACAGCAGGTACTGCCTGTGACTCTTTACCAGCTGCCCTCAACATGCTTATGAGGTAAAGTACGGGGGAAAATGATAGAGGACAGACAGCATAGTGCCTCAGCTCTTGTCCAATATATTAACCGAGCAGGAGAGGACACGCGTGTGGCTGAGGCCTGAGCACTGCAGCTGTGGGTGCGCCTTGCAAGCAATGCTCACAAACCCTTTGGAGACTTTGGGTTGTTTGTTTTTTTATAAAAATGCAAAAACAAATGTTTTCTAGCTCATTTCAGCTAAAAGGTCAATAGAATAGGTCTTAGTTTCTTTCCTAAGCTTTTGCAAAGGATGGTGCTGGGTTTCAAGAAGATACCCTCCGTATGGCAGGATGTCTCTAATCTTTGTTCAGTGTCAGCCATGAAGGATGTAGGACCCAGGTGCTCTGGCTGTTGACCAGCAGGGTCTGATCCAGCTGGACCCTGGGTATCTGCAAACTCCCGTGTGGCAGCAACAGCTCCTGTGCTCCTACCGAAGGCCATGAAAAACACCGGAGAAGTCTGTGGAGGTCTTATATGCTGCTTCACCTGGCTGCTGTGCCCTGTTGTCATCAGTGCCCTTTAGGACTGCTTGCACGTCCCCCATCCTAGCATTTAGTGTTCTCTACGCACAGCTTTCCCTGAGGAGCTGCGCAGCGCCATACATGCGTTAACGGTGGTGTCTCATTCCCAGTGTCAGCTACTGCAGAGAGCAGCCAATGCCGGGGGTGCGTGGGACGCTCCTGCTACGGCTCTGGGTCTCCCTGCTGGTCTCCTGCACGTCAGCATGCACGTGTACAGCCGGCGGGGCTCCCAGCTTGTGCTTTTCCAGCCGCTGTGTCCATGTCTGTCCTCAAGCATCATTAAAACGAGCAAATCTCCCTGGCTGTGGCATTTCTTTGGGATGGTGGGGTGGCAGATCCCCTGATGGGCCACCGGTGCAGCCCAAGTAGCACATCAAGCCCCATGGCAGTGGTTTGTCACAAGAGCGAGATAAAAGCAACCTGAGAGGTTCAAGTGCTAAATACTTGGGGTGATTTTGGGGGGTGATTTGGAGGCCTGATAGTGGTGTTGGTGCAGGCTACCGGCTGCAGGCCTGCTCCTTAGAGATAAGCTTATCTGTGTGCATGCCTCCAACATGGGACTGTGAGGGAGCGCAGGCTTCTGGCACACTGGCAGAAGACTTGGGCGCTGAGGGATGCTGGCAGTGAAGGACGTGGCCCAAGGGGACGTAGGCACTGAAAGGCACGGGTGCTGAGGAACGCGGCACAGACGGTTCCTGGGTGGTGCAGGGGGATGTTCTGCTGTGAGACACCGGCACCGAGGGGCACGGCTACAGGGAGACACGAGCACCGAGGTACGCGGCACCGAGAGCGGCCGTACTGCGGGACGCGGGCGCTGAGCGAAACCATGCCTGAGGCGGCCGCGAGCGGGAAGCACGCGCACCCAGCACGCGGCCGCCACGCCCCGCAGCGTCCCGGCGGACAACGCGGCGGGACGGGGCGGGGCGGAGCAGGCGCACGGAGGGCAGCATGGCGGCGGCCATGGGGGAGAGCACGTCTCGGGAGCCGCACCGCTTGCGACGGCGGCAGCGGCCCCGCGGCGGGGTACGGCGCGACCTGCCCGCCGCCCACATCGAGTCCTTCAACTACGCCATCAGCGAGGGGGTGTACCGCGCCCTGCAGGTGCCGGGGGGCGGGCGGGGAGCGGCCTCCGGGGATCGCGCTCCGGAGCCCGCCCTCACGCGTGGGCGCCTGTCTCTCGCAGGACATCCCGCCGGTGGAGCTGGCGCTGAAGGACGGCCGCGTGGCGCTCACCGTGGTGGGGATCGCCATCTCGCCGCCCGTGGTGCCCAAGGGGACGCTGTGCCAGGAGGTGAAGGTGTTCCCGGCCGAGTGCCGCGGGCTGCGCAGCACCTACCGCGGGCGGCTCACGGTGAGCTCCTCCGCTCGCGGGTTTGTTGTCTTACCTAGGCCGTGGCTTCTTCAGCCTTCCGAGCTTCGCCTGCTGGGGAAGCGTTTCTGAGAGCTGTGTCCTGCCTAGGGTGTTCTGCAGGACGAGCTGACAGTGTCTCCTCTGTTCTTATTTTCATTTCCCCTCGCACGACACATCAGTTGTGTTCCTTCTGCTCTCAGGTGGGTGTTGAACCCAGTCAGCCTCTGCAGGAGGTCTGCAGGGAAGCCTCCTTCATCCCACAGACCATTAGGATTCAGGTCTCTTCTTTTTCCCGCAGAAATCTAGGTCCAAAGGCAGCGTGGCTCTGAAACCAAAGCCATAAGTTCCTCCTATTCACACTGTCTGCTCACTAGTTCTATGCGTTGCTCTGAAATTCCACTAACGAAGCATCCTTGGCAGGCATTCTCCTTTGCACAGCTGCTTCCCACTCTCACCACGTAGCCACATCCATGCTGCATGCATCCTGTACAAGGACTCTTGCTTGCAGTTCCAGCTGTATATAACTTGCAGCAATGAATCCGACTGCAAGCAAAACGTCCAGACATAAAAGTTGGCCAGTTGTGGGTTGTACACCATTTTCCCAGTGGCTCTCGGATTTTCCTGAACCAGAGGTGCATTCATTCTTTCATTTCTCTTATCTGTGTTGCTCCCTTCCCTCCTTCCCTCCCTAACTGTATTTTTGTTTTAATTGTTTCTCAACATTTGACGCTTGGAACAAAGCATTTTATTGTGCCTGATGCGTGAAAGTCTTTCCTGTTCTTTCCCACTCCCCGCCCTTGCACGGTGGGACACAGCGTGTCATCAGCCTGTTCTCACTGTTTTTAACAGCACAATCAAGTTATCTCTGAGGTTCTCAGTTCTCCAAGGTGAGTGTGTTGTCTGGTGAGTGGCGTGTTGCACAGGAGCCATTTTATACCATTGGTCATCATTCAAGCTGAAGACAGAATTATGCAGAGGTTTCAGTGTACAGCTGTGTCATGGTTTTAGAGGGGTTCAGCAGATGTTTCTGTTCTAATTCCTAAACTTCCTTAATTCCTAGGATGTTGCCAGGTGTTAATCCAGCACTAATGACAAGACTTTTTTCCTGACTGCGGCTCTTCTGAGGCTTACCATTCTGCCTATGAAATTGAGACTGTTTGCTATGTGTTTTACACTGTCAACTTTGTACATCTTGCTGTCAGCTTCATTACTAAGAAAGAAATCATACAAGTCTGGAACTGTAGACATGTGCTGACTGTTTTCCAGAATATGTTGCCCAGATATCTACTAGTTACGCTTTTTATTGTGATTGTGATGGCAGTTAGTTGAACAGATTGGTGGTCATGTTAAATGTACAATTATTGTAACAGGAATGAAAAAGATCAGCTCAGTTTGCTCACTGTTTGTGTTGTATCATTTTAGGTTGACATCAGCTGGTCACTGAATGGCATTCCACAAGGGACTATTAAACAGCCTGTAGGGTATATTCCAATCATGGTGAAGTCCAAACTGTGTAACCTCTATAATCTTTCTCCCCAAGAGCTCATCCAGCACCATGAGGAGGAGGAGGTAATGAGGATTTTGTGGATCAGGAAAATGTGCAGTATATTAGGCCAGGACTTGAGCGTTTGTATTTTACATTTTACTTACATTCTCTGAATGTACACTAGTTCTGGTGATTCTGTATGCCATCTTGAAGAATGGCAAGTTCCAGTGAGTCTCAGCTGTCTTTGGATGCAGGGGCCTGTTTTGTGCTAATACCTGTGCTTCCCACAGGTGACTTTACTGTTGCTAACCAGCACTGATGGCTGTGTGGAGGCAGATTAGGAGAACAGGCATTGAAAGAGGTTCTTTTTATTATTGTTGGTTGTCTTCCACAGTTGTTTTCATCTCCCCAGTACCATGTCATCCAATAAAGAAATATTATAAACGTTCTGTAAATACAGAATTATATGTTTTGTGCTCCCAAAAGAGTAAGCAAACAGAAAGAAAATCTGCAGTGATGTGTTGCTGCTGGCCCCCTACAGCTCTACCAGTACTCTTACTTACAGTATTCTTTGCTACTGGAATGCTTTTTTTCCTAATAGCACAACACTTGGGAAGCTGTACATTTATTGGTATTATGCACGTACATGAATCCCCTTCCTTGTACATAGTGCTAGATTTAGACACTTAAAGTGCACTGACAAAGAGTGCAGCCTTTCCAGATGCAGTGCTGAGATGTCTTGTGTGTTTCATAGTTGAGATTTTAAATGTTTGTTTTTATAATATATTACAAGCATTTTCTTATTTTACTTAGGATGATACTTTATACAATTCTAAGCACATTAAAAGCATTCTTCTCTTTCTGGCAGGAAATGGGGGGCTACTTCATAATTAATGGCTTAGAGAAAGTAATTAGAATGCTGATTATGCCCAGGCGCAATTTCCCTCTTGCGATGACAAGACACAAGTGGAAAAACAGAGGTCCTGGTTTCACAGAGTACGGTAAGCTGAAGGGCTTCCTGCCACATCCCTCCAGAAGCTGCTCGTGAACAAACAGGGATGGCCAATTAGGGCTGATATTTTGTTGTTGTTGCATAATGTTTATATTTGCAGGTAAATTTTACTACGTGGGAAACCAAAGGGTTGATAACAGCATAGCGATAGAAGTATGAGGCAAGTGCTTGCCTTGCAGGTGGTTTCTGAGCTGCCTGTGCTGAAGGAGATGGCATTCCAGGCTGTGCAGTACATGGAGCTGTTGTTCTGTGATAGGAGTAATTGGAACCCTGCATGCTGAAGAAGAAGTCAGTGTAAATTAGTGAGGTTGTGGCACTGAATTTGGTTTTCCATACCTCAATATGATAAATGTAATTTACATGAAACAGATTAACTGGATTCTTGCCTGTTTCATAACTTTGCGTGTATATACTGGTAAAATTGAGTTTTAATTAAACCAGATTGAATGAAACCTGAGTTTTGCTCTCGCTGCTGAGTTTTGTTCAGCTGCTGATTGGCCTGAACCACGGTGTTTCAGAACACTCTAATTCCCCATGAATCAATTTTGAGGCAGTGCTAGTTTAATCAGTTCCCGTTGGTTTTATTTTGATTTGTCCTGCAGTGGACAGCACAGAACAGAAGCAGGAAACAGTGCTTCAGATGTACTGCCTTACTACAGGGATGGGAAAACTTGTTCCACAGTGCAACAGGGAGGAGTGTTTGTGTGTTACAGTATCTCAGGACCTACATTTAGAGACAGGACAGATGGAGTTTCCATTTCTTAAAATCTGTATTGGCATCTCCTGAGCAAGTGTAATGGCTGTCCAAAGATGTTTGTTCATTAAAACTGAACTTAGCTGCATGTATTTACGGGAATCTGAGGAATCTGATCAGTGGTCAGATCTACCTGCCTCATGTTCTCAGCCATGAAGTACAAAAGGTTATCTACTGAATCATCTCACACCTGCTTGGACATCTCACAGAAGTGTGGTCTGTGCTTCTTGCATAGCTCATACTGGCTTTTGCTTCTATTAATTTCTGCAGGGGTAGTGCTGCACTGTGTTAAAGATGAGCACAGTGCAATAAACATGAACCTTCACTACCTGGAAAACGGCTGCGTAATGGTGAACTTCATTTTTCAGAAAGAACTGTTCTTCCTTCCCTTGGGATTTGCTCTAAAGGTAAACAAATAATGCACATTACATGCTTTCTGTGTTAAATAAATGCAGAAGTTTCACTAAGCATTTCTATTTTCTCGAGTAATGAGAGGCAGCTGATTCTGTATTAAGTATTTTCAGTCGTACTTCTGACACTGGTTGAGAACTGTAGAGCAAACTGAGCCAGCACGTGTGATGCAGTGTGCAGTTGGGGCAGAGGAAGTGAATGCAGGCTTATGCCAAGGTGTTAAGGCTTCCTGCTGATAAATGTTGTGGGTTAATAGCTCATGGAGGATGCAAGGGCTTGCAACCTAACAGGAAAGATCCCATGAGTGTTTTTAAAACTGATTGACCGTTTAAGAAACACTTGGGCCAGCATCAGCTATAATAGTGCTAATCATTAAAGTCAAGTTCTCATATAAAAAGAAACCAAGACAGTAAACTGTCTCTCTTCTTTGTTTAAAGGAGAAAATTAAAATACTGTTTTTGTTTGGAACTGAAAGCATTTAAGAATTGGAAGACAAAACCAGTAGTGTCAGTTTGAGCGCATTGGGTGCAGTTAAACTGCTCTTTGAGTAGCAGACAGGAATTTGATGTTAGTCAAGCCTTTCAAATTTCTCCTTTAAAAATAGCAAAGCCTGGGTGCTTCAACTGTTTGTTATACAGCAGAGGTGTTGGAGCAAATTGTGGCCTCTGGCACCACAGCTTGTCTTCGGTCTCGGGGAATTTCCATGTTCTTCCAGCCTGCTGTCTTCATGTTGCTGTTGTGCGACTCATTTGTCTTTGTCATCACTCTGCTGGTTCAATAAAATTAGTTACCAGGAACAGATGATTACCTTGTGTTTTAATAAGCAAGGACATTATGTTGTGTTAGCTTACAAGGTGTCGTAAGCTAAGCATGCTGTGTTGTCTGAAGTTTGAATTCTTCCATGCGTATCACGCCGTGGGTTCACACGCCCCCTGCATCAGCCATTTAATAAAGAAACCTGTGTGCATGTCATGCAGCTCCTGTTTTTTCATGAGTTTCTTGAAGGCTTTTTAAATGTGGTGGAGAGACACTTTGCTTAAAGATGGGGGAGGTTTGTCAGCCAAAGTTACTTGTGAGCAGTATGGTTGCTTAAACCTGACTTAAACAACTAGGAAATGTTATAATGCCAAGAGCTAAGAACATAGGATTTAAGTTTGAGCTGTAGAAAATGAATTGCTGAAGGTGAAGTGGATTGTAATGGGCTAAGCTGTCTTGATTTCTGTGGAGATAAGGAGTAACTTGAGACAAAAAAAAGCCTGTTAAGTTAGAGGATGCAAGTTTGTTTGTTTTTTTCTTCCAAGGGTTTCATTAGGCTGGAACTACCTGTGATCATCACCTTATTCATATGCTGTGCTACTCTTGAAGTACCTTAATCCCACAGTGTTTTTCCATTTCCAGAGGTCTGAAAATCTAAATCATTGGGGTACTCAACTTCTGCTGTTTTATGGCCAGACATTGCCATAACTGTATTTCTGATCTGATGCACATCTGTCTTTCAGGCATTAGTTAATTTCACAGACTACCAGATTTTTGAAGAGCTGGTCAAAGACAAGAAAAACGACACCTTTTATGTGAACTGCGTTACTGAGATGCTAAGAGCAGTAGCTGAAGCAGGTTGTTACACACAGCAAAACGTCCTCGAATACCTTGGAAAGAGCTTCAGAGTAAAACTCAACCTTCCTGAGTGGTACAGCAATGAACAGGCTGCAGATTTCATTTTCAAGTATGTCTGTGTATGCTTAGGAATACATGCTTGTGTCACTGCATTGAAATTACAACTAACTTTAAGAATACTCTGCCATATTATTTCACAGTATCATTGTTACGGTTTTTGTACCCAGCCAGTGTCCAATTCCTGGTGGAATTTCAGGATATTGTGATAATCTGTTCTTTTTGAGTTTAGAGAAGGGAAGGTTGCAACTACATGTGTGGACTGCTTTAGGTTCAACTTGTTGAACAGCATTAGGGTAATTTGTGGCATTTTCTCTGCTGTTTCACACAGTCATTAGCAACTATTATGAGAATTACACTTCTAAGTGATAGGAATTGGATGTTTTAAAGTCTTGCTTCTTCAATGGAGTAAGTTAGGAAGCAGTGGAAGAGAGTGTTTTGAGATTGCCAATGTGACAACCATTCAACTGATTTTCAGGTAATACAGATTTTAGTTCCTTGACCAAGTTTTTTAGCACTTGAAAAGTATAATTTGGGATGCCCAAGTCCTTGAGTACCTGTAAATAAGGAGTAATCATCAGATGTCTAGAAGCATGAAGGCAGTTTTTCTTAGGAGTGTAGGAAGAACAGATCTTCGGACTGAGAAACACGAGTGAATAATTTCAAGAAAGTTATACTGTTATTTTCTTTATTCTGAATACTGTGGTGCTTTTTGGTTGTGTTTTTTCCCCCCATGGTATGTTGTGTACACACTGTTTGTCAAAGCTGTCTGCGCTGTGGAGATGAGAGCAATTGTGGAAAGCAATATTTGGGGCATACTTTGTATTGTAACTTCTACCTGGCCACAGCTTTCTTTGAATGTTTTTATGGTGAAGTTGTAGAGGCTTCAGAAGAGGGCAGTATGGAGCAGAGGTACAGAGTGGCCACATCTACGTGCTTGCTCACATGCTGGAAGGTTGTTGTGCTTACGTCTTGGAAAGCAAGTTACCTCTGTTGTCTTGGAAGGCAGTTTAGCAGCTTTATAGCTTGCATCAAAATGTCATTCAGCACACGTTTCCACACAAAGATCTGACTGCAGCGTTCTGTGATCTGTTACTAGTCTATGGCTTGGATTTTGGGGTGGAGATGAGCACGTACATGTGGTTATGCAGAGGTGTTTAGTGTCATACCTGCTGCAAAATAATGTACAAATCTCATCTCTTAAGTGGGCCTGTAAACTGTGCACTTGTAAGGACTTATAGTAATATGTAAAATAAATTTTTCACAAGGCTCACCTTCGTCTGATGAAGATTTTGAGAATATTTAGCAATAATGTGAAGAACAGCTGGCATGATGGGGTGGTGTTAATTGTCCTTCTTTCTCTCCCTCCAGCAAGTGTATCTGCATACACTTGACAGACAGAACTGAAAAATTCTACCTGCTTTGTATGATGACCCGGAAGCTGTATGCTTTTGCCAAAGGGGAGTGCATGGAGGATAATCCAGACAGTCTGATGAATCAAGAAGTGCTTACTGCAGGACAGCTTTTCCTTATGTTCCTAAAGGTAAGGTCATAAGGCCTGTGTATGGAGTGGTCATCGAGTCCAGGACCTACAGTGGCCAAGAAGATGGAAGAAATGCAGAGCCAAACTGAAGAGCAGGGAGCCTAGGTATCCTACAAAGACTTGAGGGTATGCTGGATCTAGTGTAGGACGGCATGCACTAAAGAGCAGCCCGTGTCAAACCTGGAGTGAAAAGCTTCAGGGCCTTCAAGAGCAAATGAAAGTTCAGGGTTGAGTCTGGGGAAGGAGAAACGCCAGCCCAGGAGGGTTTTGAAACAGCGTATTGCTGTTGTGTCAGTTGATACAGTAGTAGTGAAAATCTGCCTCTTTGTGGTGCTCCCTCTGTGTTGCACAGCAAATGTGCAAGTAGATAACTGCCCCATCCTCTTTCTCTGAAAATCAGTGATTTATGTTGTTGTTTTTTCTACCCATCTTTGAATTCTTTTACAGATCAAGAAGTCAGTCCAATTTACACAGTTAACTTATTACTGGTGATATAAAAGTGCAGCTTCCTAAACTCTTCCAGTTCATTGTGGATTCAAGTTATTTCTGGCATTTCCTCATTGTAGAATGCCAGAAGGAAAATATTGCTCAGAAGTGAGATTTGTCAGCCCCAAGTAATAATAATTCCCTGAGTTAGTAGATAACTCTTAGTCTTTCTTTGCCATTTTAGCCAAAATCTTCTTTAGCATCGTTTTGTTGAAACAATTCTAATTTCTCTACTACTTGATTGGTTTCAATGGCTGTAGAAAGAGAATCAAAAGTGAATTATGTGAAGCATTGTAGTGCTTTCTGAAACTGGCAGCAGGAACCAGAACAGCTTGCTGTCTTGCCTGGCCCTGTCAGATAAACAGGTGAGTGAGCAATCTCTTCTGTAAAGGCAAAGATTCTAAACAGACTAGGTTTCTGTTGTGAAGATAACTGCTGAGACAGTCATTAGAGTGTCTGTGTTCCTGTTTCAAATTCAAGTGTCACATTCTTAAACCGCAGGAGAGGCTTGAGAACTGGTTGCAATCTGTTAAATTCATTTTGGAGAAGAGAACAGAAAAGGCCGACATCAACGTCAATACAGACAGCCTGATGAAGGCGTTCAGCCTGACCACAGATGTTACCAAGTCATTTGAGTACCTTCTTGCAACTGGTAACCTGCGATCTAAGACCGGTAAGTCGTAAGGTCTAAGAAGCCCTTTTTTTACCTGCTGAACTGTGTGAGAAACAACTTAAAACCAAACTTTTAACTCAAAGCAACTTGAGTGCAGACATTGTATACTGAATTAACAAAGACAGTGGAATAGGAAAAGGCTGATTGAGAGAAAGAGGAGATGTGTGCTCAAGCAGTGAATTTATAGTCTCGGGACCTCATACAGTTCTCTGAGTTGCTGAAGTACTTAAATCTTGTTAGTGGAAAATAGGAAACAGCCGTCTGAGTGACATCCTGATGTAAGTCTCCATCTTGTTCCTCAGGCCTGGGCATGCTGCAGGACAGCGGGCTGTGTGTGGTGGGGGACAAGCTGAATTTTGTTCGCTACCTTTCGCATTTCCGCTGCATACACAGAGGGTCGGCGTTTGCCCAGATGAGAACTACCACGGTACGCAAACTGCTGCCGGAGTCCTGGGGGTTCCTGTGCCCAGTGGACACCCCCGATGGAGAGCCCTGCGGTCTGATGAACCACATGACAGCTGTGTGTGAAATAGTGACAGAGATGGTTCCTGTGACAGACCTGCCACCTCTGTTATGTGCTCTAGGTACAGTTTACTGGCTAAATTGTCTAATGAAGCAATCTTCCTTTTTACCTTTCTGCCCTACGAACCCATATGTGGAGAATGTTCTCCAAATACCATTACTGTAAATCAAGGTAAACCTGTTCTTACTCTGCTTCTGCTTAATGTAGGATTTGCTTATTCAGGCATGTAAACCTTCTGGAGAACGTAAAGTTCAAAATAAATGTCTCTTAGCTGCGTACTGTAGAGCTGAAGATGTTCACCTGCACAGGACTGGCTCAGAGAAATTAGGCAAACCACTGACTTCATCGTGTTGCTAATAACTTGAATTAAATTGCAGATCCTCTAGTGATGAGCACTGGTGATGGGAATCTTGTTTCGTTCAGAAGTGTGCTGGGACTGGATGGGAAATGGCACTCACAGTTGTGCACGTTTTATGTTCTCCATCAAGTCTCATCTACCGCTTTGCCCTGTCCAGATGTTCTGAATTTTTCTCATGGCTCATAAAGCTGTTTTATGTGGATTGAGGCTTCCTGCAGAAATAACGTACATTTGTGTGCTTTTTTGGCTGTTCCCTCTCCTGCCCCAATCTCTCACAGGTGTTGTCCCCATTGATGCGACCCCAAGCAAGCCGTACGCTGAGTGCTACCGCGTGGTGCTGGATGGTGCAGTGGTGGGCTGGGTCGAGTGGGACCTGGCTCCTCAGGTTGCAGAAGCCCTCCGGCGATTCAAGGTTGTCTTCTTTAAAATGTGACTTACCTAAACGTGCTCCATATGCAGTGGTCACAAATAAACCAAAAGGCTCCAGAGTTCTAAAGAAGCCTAACTTCTGTCTGTCTTTTAAGTCTGACCTAATCATTTATCTTTATTTATCTTTGTCTGCATGTTAGTGTTAGGCTTTTTGGTTTTTCTGGTATTTGTTCTAGGTTTGGTCTCTTGGTTTATGATGTTGCCATTGTTATGAGAATTTTTTTTTTAGCATGGCAGAAGTATTCTTGGTGGAGATATTGCTAGAAATACCCTCTAGATTTGCATTTCACTATTTTATATTAATAGCTACATCTGTGGATCTGTGGTTTGTGTTTCCACTGTGGGTGGTAACCTAGCCTGTAGGGTGCAGCTTAACTAAAATAATATTGTTTTGTATTCCTAAATTAATACTCCTTTACACAACCAGATAACACAAGAGAAGAGATTTCCTGCGCGGGCAGAAGTGGTCCTTATCCCAATGACAGGAAAACCCAGTCTGTATCCTGGCTTGTTCATCTTCACTACCCCTTGTCGAATGGTGCGGCCTGTCAAAAACCTGCTGTATGGAAGGAAGGAATGGATTGGTACTCTGGAACAGGTAGGTTTTGCATATTTCAGTTACTAAATGCTGACTGTTACAGCAGTATCCTGCATCAGAAGCATATTTTGTGAAGTGTTTGTCAAAGGAGCTGAGAATGAGACATAGGTAAAGTGCTGAAGAGCTGGAATAGGTAGCAGAAGAGTTTTCTCATTTCTAGCTAATGAGTTTTTGGTACTTTCCTTAGAGGTAGAGTGGAGAAGTCTTTTTCAAGTACTGAAGTCTGCTTTCAGTATGAACGTAGTGAAAGTTTCCTTAGGTGAATGATCGCTGTCTCATCATTTTTTTTATGTCACGTTCTGCAAATTGCCAGTGAGCAGCCAAGTAGTGGCTTGCCTGGGAACTTGATAACTTGGAACAATTAAGATGAGAGAGTGGAAGTGCGATGCGTATCGCAGTTTCATACTTCCAGACTTGCTTTCCTTGCAGTTGTCTGGGATTGTGGTAAAGTAGTTCAGTAGTTGTTTGGTGTTTCCCTTGCCTGAGCTAAGGTACAGTCAGCAACCACAGCTGAAACTGAAATGAAAAGTCACTAGGCTTTGTTGCTAGCAGCTTTGTCTTGCTTTCTGTCCAACCTGTCCAATGTGATTCTTGCAGGTCTTCATGAATGTGGCCACCATGGAGTCAGACATTGTGCCTGGAGTCACCACCCACCAGGAGCTCTTCCCTCACAGCATTCTGAGTGTGGTGGCCAACCTCATCCCCTTCTCTGACCACAACCAAAGTCCTCGAAACATGTACCAGTGCCAGATGGGTAAGTCCTGTAGTACCTACAGCTGCAAGTCTCCAAGCAAGGAAGAGGGGGGGAAAATCTCTGGCATATGTATCCACATATTTCCACGTAGCAACTCTTCCCAGCAGTTCTTACAGCTCTAAAGTTGATCACTATGAAATAAGTGACTGTTAAAGAAGTCAAGTTTATCATCCATGCAGCCTTCCAGAGGGCAGTTTTAAATTGTAGTGCTCACAGTGCCTTAAGTCTTTGGGTTTTTTTTTTTTGTAGGCTTTTTCTTTTTAAATTTGAGGCTGTTGATCATACAGATTAGCGTGGGGCACTGCACCAGCTGCTTGGGAGTGTCAGTATTAACAACTGTGCTGGCAGGAGTCCTCTCATCCCCCAGCTGGCAGAGGTTGACCTGCTTCTCACAAGCAGCAAGGGTAAATGCTTTGAAGTGGTGGGGGTTTCTTTGCACCTGTTTTCAGTGACTGCACTGTCACTGACTGCAGCTTTTGAAAGAGCAGTTACTGGACATTTGTTGCTGGATATTAAAATGGCACCATGGCAGCAGTTCTTTTTTTTTTCCTGCCAGTTATTTGATTAACTTGGTTGTCTGCAGGCAATTGGGATATGGTATGTAGATGGAGTTTCAATTAGTCAACAAGTGATTTGCAAGAAACTTATTTAAAGCAAAAAAAGCCAGGCTAAGAGGTAGAAACTATGAGAGTGCTGCTCTCATCAGCACCACAGCATATTGCATTTCTAACAAGCTTACCAGAAAGGTGCCCTTAATATGCTACTGCTTTTTCATATTTATCTGAAAGTACTGATGTGACTGTGTTCAAAAACTTTTTTTACTGCCATGTGTTTGTACTGTCAGTGGGAAAAAAAAAGCCAACACTTTATTGGAGGCTTGAAATTGCAGAAAAGACACAATTAGAAGAATCCTTTACGTAGTGATGTGAAGGGAATTTAGTTGTTGTGTATGGTTCATAGAAACTTTTTTAGCTGGACTTAGGGCAGTTATTAAATAATAATTCTGGAGGACAACACTATTTAGCTTTGAATTGATCCTGTGTAAATACAACTTTCTTTGTAGGAAAGCAAACCATGGGGTTTCCAGTGTATAACTACAAGGACCGCTCAGATAACAAGTTGTACCTCCTCCACACCCCTCAGAGCCCTCTGGTGAGGCCCAGAATGTATGACTATTATGGTATGGACAGCTACCCAGTCGGTACCAATTCAGTTGTGGCTGTCATCTCCTATAGTGGCTATGACATGGAAGATGCAATGGTAAGTGTGAGGAATTACATTGTCCTGCAAAGGAATTTAGCATGGGCAATTGTAAAGAAGGGTGGTATGCAGTTGAGAAGAGCCCTTTTTCTGCTTTTGCTAGTTCCATTAGAATTGATACAGGAACTCAGCTGTTAAGCACCTTCTGCAGTAATGTTCAGGGTAGTCAGAGTAGAGCAGAGCTCCCTTGTGCAAGGCTGTGGGCATCCAGCATTGATTTAAAAAAAAAAAAAAAAAAAAGAGGAAAAAAAAATGGGATTGGAGGAGACCTGAGCCTGTTGGAGTGATGATTGGCTGGGAGGTGTTTGTTTTTTTAATGTAGGAAGGTGTGCATCAGATCAGAATGGAAATTGTTTTTTTGAAGATACTAACAAGTTTTTAACATCCTTTTTTTCTTTCTCTTAGATTGTCAACAAATCTTCTTGGGAGAGAGGGTTTGCTTACGGAAGTGTTATCAAGATGGAGAGCATTGACCTTTCCCTTAAAGCTAGCAGGGGAGGTGATAATTTAGTGTTTGGTATCAGGCCTGGGGACCCAAACATTAAGGAGAAGTTGGATGCTGATGGACTGCCTTTTGTTGGCTCCATCCTGCAGCCCGGGGACCCGTTCTACAGCTACATGAACCTTAACACAGGGGAGACCTTCACTGTGTACTACCAGTAAGTTCAGCTTGTTCCTCCTGTCTCCAAACATACAGAGTAGTGGACCCTGATCAGCTGCTCTTTTAGGCATTGCCTTTTCTCCTCACACAGCACTTAAGGTATCCATGTGTTCATGGAGCATGAAATTGATGCATGTTTTATGGCTTGGAGTCAGTGTATGCTGAAGAGCTGCAGCATCTAGGATATAAGGCTAGGAATGGTAAAAAGAGAGAATTTGCAGAAATTTTTTGCTGTCCCCCAGTATTGTTCCTTTGTCCATCTCTGTCATTTTCTGCAGCATTGTGTTAACTGAGTTGGGTTCTTGGTCCCCAAAGACTTGCCAGTCTCTTGTCAATACAACTTCATGCCCTACCTGCACCATTTACACAGTGAAGATCATACTATTTAGTTATTCATGATTAGAAAGCAAATTAGCTAATTGGATAAGCTAATTGGAGAGCAGAATAACCAGTCTTACTGGGAAAGCTATCTGTTAATAATACACAATGAGTGCATTGAAACTGCATTGCAGACATTGCTGGTTGTAGAGCAGAGCAGAGAGATTCAGTACGTGGCAGTGAGGATTGCCAGAACTTGATGCTGTCAGCTCAGCCTTATGCTCCTTCCACTTGTGAATCCTGTTTTGGCTCCCTACTCCATATTCCTGTTTGCCAGCTCTTTTGTGCCAGCCTCACCTAAGTTCAGGTTCCTTACCCAGAGAGCCATTTTACCTGTGTACTCTGCAGCATTTGTTCATTACAGTTCTAGATGAGGTAACAGTTTAGGTTCCTATGGGGAGGTTCCCTGCTCTCACTGTTGGCTCATGCCCCAGGTTTTCCCAGAGACCCTGCAACCTGAAGGGACAATTCTCCCTACTGTCCTACACACACTGCTTGGATCTTGAACTTGGCTTGGAAGGGGTGGAGAGCAGAGGCTTTGACTCAGGACTTTCATGAAGCTGGGAAGAGGCTTATGAAGCAATTTTTGAGTGTTTTTGTTGTTGTTTGGGGATGGCCTATACTGTGGTTGCATTTTGGCACAGTAGAAGAATAGCTGTAAAACAGAAGCTAATCATAAGGGCAGGCCTTCTGCAAGCAGCAAAGGGACTTCAGAGGACAAAGAAAAAACTAATCCTGTTGTAATGTGGTCGAAATTTATTCATTTCTTAAGAGTTTGGGCTGCAAGCTCTGTGACAGGAGTTAAGTGTGCAACAGACATCCAGCATGTGAAACATCTGCTGAGGGTTCACTTGAAACAGCAACATAGCCCTGAACACCTGTTGGCAAAGGCCCACTCAGCTGCCTCTGCTATCTGCTCCTGAGCTTTCCTCTCAACTTCGCCCTGAACCTGTTCATTTATGCTAGCGTCCCACCAGGGCAGTGTTAATTTATTGTGTAGGAAAATGCTGCCTTGAAAGAAGACAATTGGCACGTCTGATCGGCTGTAGTACTGATGAACCAGGTTTAAATAATTTTGACTTTATTATCATAGGTGACACATTACCTCATCACATGGAAGTTGCAGTTGTGCTGCTAGCATTAGAAACAGCAAACAAATGGCACTTGGGTGATACCTTTGTTTGGCTGCTGTGCTCTAATTCTTGTGCAGTCTGATTTCCCTGAATGACATTCTTCAAAAAATGTGGTGATCCCCAGCTCTTTATTGGATTTAAAAGTGGGTTGGTTTCTTTGCTTCACTTCAAAGTCATGAGCATATCTGATACCTTTGCTGTGAATGTTTTTCCACCTATGCAGGAATAAAGAAGTCGGCATTGTGGACAACATCAAGCTGTGCAGTAATGACCGTGGCACTGGGAAATTCAAGAAGGCTTGCATCACTGTGAGAGTTCCTCGAAACCCAACTGTTGGAGACAAATTTGCCAGCCGCCATGGGCAGAAGGGCATCCTGAGCCAGCTCTGGCCTGTTGAAGACATGCCGTTCACGGAGAATGGGATGGTTCCAGACATCCTCTTCAACCCCCATGGGTTCCCCTCCCGTATGACCATCGGGATGTTAATTGAGAGCATGGCGGGGAAGTCAGCAGCACTGCACGGCGCCTACTACGATGCCACTCCCTTCACCTTCACGGAGAAAAACTCCGCCTTGAAGTACTTTGGTGAGACTTTGGTGAGCGCGGGCTATAACTTCTTTGGGACAGAAAAGATGTACAGCGGAATCAGCGGCGTGGAGCTGGAGGCAGACATCTTTGTGGGAGTCGTGTACTACCAGCGCCTGCGCCACATGGTCTCAGACAAGTTCCAGGTGAGGACTACAGGACCCCGGGATTCCGTCACCAACCAGCCTGTCAAGGGGAGGAACGTGGAAGGGGGGATTCGCTTTGGTGAGATGGAGCGTGATGCGCTGTTGGCTCATGGCACCTCCTTCCTGCTGCACGACCGCCTGTTCAGCTGCTCTGATGGCTCGGAAGCCTATGTTTGCACGAGCTGCGGCAGCATGTTATCTCCTCTGCTCCAGCGCCCACCACCTTCCTCCGTAGCAAGCAACAGGAGGTATTCCTGCATGCTCTGTGGCAGGATGGACACCATCCAGGTCATCCCCGTGCCCCACGTCTTCCGGTACTTCTTGGCAGAGCTGGCAGCCATGAACATCAAGCTAAGGCTCACGCTGGAGCAGTAATCCTGCAGTGAGAGGAAGGAAGCACGCCTTAGTTCTGCCTTTGCCCCCTATGGGTTTCAAGGGTTAAGTTCTCAGGTTTGTCAAACAGTTACAAGGTTAACTTCATGTTTGCGTTGTGATGGGGTGAAGCCGCATTGTGCAGAAATGCGGTCCCATTGGTGTTTGTTTGCACGTTGTAAAAAATTGCTATTGCAACGTGTGTGGAAATCAAGCAGGATCACTGTTCCTATGGGCTTGAAGGCGGTGAGAGTTTTTTGTTCGCTAAGAGCTGGCAGCAGCTGCAAAGATGAATAGGTCACAAACAGCATGAAGTGAATGCTGGGAGTGACAGTGCGTTGCACTTTTTTGTCATTATTTTATTTTTTCAATATTTTGATCCAAAGAAGAAAGCAGATAGCTTTCCAGCCCAGCTCTTACCTTGGCTCCAGCGCTCCTCAGGTCATAGAGATGCACAGTCACAGGCAGGTTCTCAGCCCTCGGGCAGTAGTACAGGCCTGGGGCAGACTATGTTCCCAAGCCCCAGCTGTAGCTGTGGCCTCTCCTTCTGTATGAGCCTCGTCTGGTTGGCACCAAGGAGATTTTTATACTTCTTGTTAAGAGTTCTTTATATGTTTCTTTAAAAAAAAAAAAAAAAAAAAAAAAAAAGCATTTAAAGCTGTGTCTGCAGCCAGCCTTGCTCCATCCTCCTGGGAGATCCAAGGGCATCCAGGGGGGCCAGCGGGGCCTCCTGGCTGCCAGAGAAGCTCAGGGCTGGCCTGGGCGGTTCTCCCAGGGCTTGGGAGGCCGCGGGAGGCGGGAGGCTGTGGGGATGTCGTTTGTGGGTGAGGCGTTGGGGCACCGCACACCAGCTGGGGCCTGGCCCCTCTGCACCATCTGCAGCAGCTCAGCAAATGAAGGAGGGGGGGCTGGGGCTACGGTGGCTGGGGGGGCCGTGTCCTTCATCTGCTCTGTCACGGCGCTGCTCGGCTCCATCATGGCGCTGTCTGTGGCCGTACCACTGCAGCAGGGGGGGAGGAAGGGCGCTACCACGTGTGCGGGAGGGGGAGGCGGGCAGCTCTGGGATGGGAAAGTAGTGAGGCAATGGCACTCGTGCCAGGGGCTGTCTCTGGCCCGTGCCCGCCTCCCTCTCACTGCCTTGCCCCAGGTGCAGCTCAGAGCAGTTGGGAGCAGGTGACAGTAACGGTTGGGGGCTGAGCGACCACTGTGCTGCTGCTGCTGCTTCCATGGAGGTGCCCTGGTTGCTGCTGGCCTCTGCTCTGCTCCTGCCCTGTAAGTAGCCAGCAGGCGGGTTGAGGTGGTGGGAGTGGAGTGGGCTGGCGGCCACCGAGGGCCGGGCCCAGCGCAAAGCCTTAACCTGCATCCTTGCAGCCTGCAGGGCCACCAACCCCCTGCCCATCCTTTCCCCGCCACTGACCATGGTGGTGTCAGGGCAGCAGTGGCGGCTGGTGGTGTGTGTGGTGAGCGAGCTGCCCGCAAGCTCCGGCCATGCCGTCTGGATCTCCAGTGGGAACAGCAGCGCTTTGCAGTCCTTTGCCTACGGGGCTTCGCAGGAGGAGGGTGGCACCATCTGTGCAGTTTCCATCCTCCCTGACAGTCCCATGGAGCAGGAGCTCCTGGCGTGCCATGTTGGGCCCAACAGCAGCGCTCCAGCCCATAGCTCCAACCTCATCCCACTTGCAGGTACGGACAGCGGCCCTGCCTGGGACCAGGGCTGTGCCAGCAGGCAGCAGGCATGAGGCCCTGCGGGTGAATGTTACCCAGGGGTTTGTGGCAACCTCCTCCTCGCTGTTCCTCATCCCGCAGGCAGCGATGAGGAGGCAGAGCTGTGTCCCAGAACCCCCGCGGGTGAGTGCGACGGGGACGACGTGCCTTTCGGGGGATGCCATAGGGCCTGCAGCCACGCTGCTGTCCCCTCTGTTTCAGAGCCCCGCGCCTGTGCTGCCGTAGCCCTGCTGGTGGCCGCGCGGGTGGTGCTGCTGAAGGCCGCGCTCCTCGACGCCCTGCTCACCGCCCTGCTCCTGACCCGGCGCTGAGGGACCAGGCCGGGCAGGGAGGAGTCCCCCGGAACGAGGGGCAGACCCAGTATGGGTGAAGGTGTGGGAGCGGAGCGGAGAGGAGCCCGCGGAACGGGGGCCCGGAACAACCTCGGGGCACGGCGTGCGATGGGACGGACAAGGACCCTCCGGCGCGGGCCCGCGGCAAGCCAGCGGAGAGGGCGGGGCTTACTCGGCGGGCCAGGCGGCGATTGGCCGGGCGTGCCACGCGGGCCGCTGGGGTTGGCAGTGGCGGTGCGTTGCCGTGGTGACGGGGGCGGGGCGAACGCCCGGAAGCGGAGCCATGGCGGCGGAGGGTCCCGCCGCGCTGCTGCTGCTGCTGCTGCTCCTGGCGGTAGCGGGCGGCGACGACGCGGACTGGGTGCGGCTGCCCAGCAAGTGCGAGGGTGAGCGCGGCCGGGGGCGAGGGGAGCGGGGCCGGGAGCGGGCCGGGGCGGAGGAGGCCCGGTCGCGGCAGCCGGGCCTTCCCGCGGCACCCGGAAGTGAAGGGAGCCGAGGCTCCGCCGGGGCCGGGCCTCGCCTCGCTCTGTCTGTGCCGTGCAGGGACGTGCGGGGCTCCGCGGCGAGGAGGAAAGAAGGAGAAGCTGCGGCGGAGCTGTTTGTGCGGCTCCCCCGCCCGGGAAGACGCTCCGGAGGTGCCGTGTGACCGCACGGCCGCTGCCCGCCTGGCCCGGGACCGCTGTGAGCCGTGGCAGCGCAGGGCCGGGCTCGCTCCCGGCGGAGGGCACTGCGGAACGGCACGGAGCCTTGCGGAGCTCCGGGGCAGGAAGGGCCGTGCTGAGCCCAGCCTCCGTCCCTCCACGCCTGCAAACCCCCATTTCCTCCTGCTCACCGTTCCTGTCTCTCTGTTGGACTGTCCGTTACAGCTGAAATAAAATTTTGTTTCCCCCCTCCCCTCTTTCATTCATTTATCGTTTCTAAAAGCGTGGCAGAGCACCGCCGGCAGTGCAGTGCCCTGCAGTAGTGATGCAGCCCCTGCAGCTCTGCACCCATGTGCCTGGCTGCCTTGTTGTGTGGGAGGCACAGGGAAGGGGTGACTCGCGGTGCCCTGTCCCCATGGGAAGGGATGAGCAGGTGAAGCAGACACTGGAGTGGCTGCCCTCTGCTCTCCTGGCTGTAGCAGTGTGGCTGCACTAATACTGAAGCACTATTCAGGGCCTCCTACTCCAGGAGATCATCGGTCAGGATGCTGCTCTTCGTTTCTGTGAACAACAATGGTGACCGTGCCCTGTGAGCTCTTCTCCCAGCACCAAGTTCCTCCTCAGGACCTACTGACCTGCTATGCTTTCCCTCCTGCAGTGTGCAAATACGTGGCATTGGAGCTGAAATCTGCCTTTGAAGAGACCGGCAAGACCAAGGAGGTCATCGACACTAAGTATGGCTTCTTGGATGGGAAGGGCGCTGCTGTCAAGTACACACAGTCGTAAGTAAAAACAGAAGAGGCTGAGTCCCTCCTCTGGAGCATGGAAATGTGCCAGGTTGCTTCCTCCTGATCTTGGAGGCTGTTCTGGGGTGTACTTCCAAGCCGTTCCCATTCTTCCTCTCTGTGCAGGGACATCCGGCTCATCGAGGTGACAGAGAACATTTGCAAGAGGCTGTTGGACTACAACCTGCACAAGGAAAGGAGCGGCAGCAACAGATTTGCAAAGGTGGGTTTCCTTCCTGGTGCTGAAATGTGGTCGGTTCTTCCAGGTGCCAGCTGACAGCAGGCAAGGCTGCGCTGCTCTGGGGTGCTGTCCTGAGGGGGAGGTGGGCCAGAAGGGAGCCAGGTGCCATCCCACATAGGCCTTCCTACTGTGTTTAGGATGTGCTCAGCGCAGAGAAGGACTGGTGGGCACGTAACACCTCAGTGTCAGCTGCCTCAGGTCTCTCTGTGCCCCCGCGCACAGCCTCACTGCATGGCTCTGTTCTCCCCAGGGCATGTCAGAGACATTTGAGACCCTGCACAACCTGGTGCACAAAGGTGTCAAGGTGGTGATGGACATTCCCTATGAGCTGTGGAATGAGACCTCTGCCGAGGTGGCGGATCTCAAGAAGCAGGTACCTTCTTGCTGGGGTCAGTGTGCTGCGGCTGTGCGAGCTGGAAAGGGCTCAGCAGGTGTGGGGATGGGATCAGGGTTCTGCCACGTGCTGGTGCCAGGCTGTCCTCTCCCTGTCAGTGTGATGTGCTGGTGGAGGAGTACGAAGACGTGATCGAGGACTGGTACCGGCACCACCAGACAGAAGATCTCTCCCAATTCCTCTGTGCAGACCGCGTGCTGAAAGGGAAGGATGCCAGTAAGTCCTTGGGGCTGCCTGGGGCAGTGCATGCCTGTGAGAGCACAGGGAATCCAGCAAGGGCACGGGGAGCCCTATGTGTTCCTCAGGGCCCTCTCTCCCCCTGCCCAGGCTGCTTAGCAGAGAAGTGGACCGGCAAGAAGGGGGACTTGGCAAGCGCGGGGGAGAAGTCAAGCAAGAAGAAGAGCGGGAAAAAGAAGAAGAAAGCGGAGAAGGGACAAAGCGAGGGTGCCGAGAGCTTCTCCCCGGAGGAGAGCGGAGTGCAGGAAGCCACCCCGCTCCCCCACAGCCCCACCGACGAGCTATAGGCAGCGGCTCGCAAGGACTGAGCGGGGAGAAAGGCTCTCCCCCGTGCCACAGCCGCGGCTTCCGGCCCACCACGGTACGGACTCATTCCCCCCACGGCGCGCAGGGCCGGGGCCGCGTCCTCCCAGCGCCCGCAGCTCGGCAGCCGGGGACCCTGCGGCGCCGGGGCTGCGAATAAAGACCTTTTTCGCGGAGCGCCGCTGCGCTGCTTGCCCCGCGCTGCCGGGTCGGCTCCCGGAGGCTCCTCCCCGCGGGGGGGCGGGGCGAAGGGGAGTGTCGGCGGCGGCGATTGGCGGCCCTGGGGGGCGGGGCGGGGCGGGGGAGCGGCGGAGCGGCGGCGGGGCCGCGGCGGAGCGGGGCGGCGGCGGCGGGATGGTGGACAGCGTGTACCGGACGCGCTCGCTGGGGGTGGCGGCGGAGGGGCTGCCGGATCAGTATGCGGACGGGCGGGCGGCGAAGGTCTGGCAGCTGTACATCGGGGACACGCGGAGCCGCACGGCCGAGTACCGCAGCTGGCTCCTGGCGCTCCTCCGCCAGCACCGCTGCCGTTCCGTCCTCGACGTGGCCTGCGGCACCGGGTAAGGCCCCTTCGTCTCCGCGTCCCTCCCTTCCCTCTCCCTTCCCTCTTCCGTCCCGCTGACGGCGCTGTCCCCAGGGTGGACTCCATCATGCTGCTGGAGGAGGGCTTCCAGGTAACCAGCGTGGACGCCAGCGACAAGATGCTCAAGTACGCGCTGAAGGAGCGCTGGGAGCGGCGCAAGGAGGAACCCTTCGACCGATGGGGTGCGGGCCCGGGGGAGTGCGTGGGGCTGCGGCGGGGGGGGCGGCGAGAGGGGGAGGAGGAGGGGAGCGGAGGGTCCTTGCGGAGGGACCCTGCCTTCATCCTCCCCGCGTGCCACAGTCATCGAGGAGGCCAACTGGCTGACGCTGGAGCAGGACCTGGAGAAGCCTGGGGACGGCTTTGATGCTGTCATCTGCCTGGGGAACTCCTTCGCGCACCTGCCTGACTTCAAAGGTGAGGCTCAAAGGTGGTGCTGCGGCTCGAGGGATCGGGGGCTGCCGCACACCTGTCTGGAGGGAGGCTGAGGATGTGCCCTAACTCATGGCACAGGTAGATTGCGCTAGGTGGCAGCGTGTCTGAGAACAGGCGCTGCTTTGGGGCTCCGTGGAGCCACTGTGGCGGTGGTAGAGCTGTGCGTGTCTGTGTCACTTTTGGCTGGGCCGAAGGCACACCCAGACCTGTACCATGTGTGGGGCTGTGGGTTCCCCACACTTCCCTGGGGAGGCTGAGAGCGTGCCTGAGCTCATCACAGGGGTGGAGCTGCGGGTGCCCCGAGCCACAGGCTGGGGAAACCGTGTGGGTTTGTGTGGATGTGGGGGCACAGTCCATGCCTGGGGACGCTGGGCTGTTCTCCTCAGGGGACCAGAGTGACCACAAACTGGCCCTGAAGAACATCGCCAGCATGGTACGGCCCGGCGGCGTCCTGGTCATCGACCACCGCAACTACGACCACATCCTGGCCACCGGCTGCGCGCCGCCTGGAAAGAACATCTACTACAAGGTGGGCGGCTGCCATCCCTGCCCCATCCTGCTGCCCTCTGCCACAACCCCGTTCCCCAGGCTGGGGCCAGGGACAGCGGAACACCAACATTCCGCTGTCCCCAGAGCGACCTGACCAAGGACATCACCACCTCAGTGCTGCTGGTGAACAACAAGGCCCACATGGTGACCCTGGACTACACCGTGCAGGTCCCCCCGACGGAGGCGGGGGCCTCTCCGGAGCTGAGGTGAGAGGGGCTGCATGGGGGTCCCAGCTGAGGCCGGGCCTCAGTGCCTGCCCAGCCTCATGGCCATTGCCTCCCTGCAGCAAGTTCCGCCTCTCGTACTACCCGCACCGGCTGGAGGCCTTCACAGCACTGCTGAAAGGCGCCTTCCAGGGGAAGTGCCAGCACAGCGTCCTGGGTGACTTCCAGTCCTACACGCCGGGTCAGGCCCACATTCCCTGTTACTTCATCCACGTCGTCAAGAAGACTGCCTAAGGGGCTGCGGTGACAGGACTGTGGTGGCAGAGCACTCCGAGTTGCTCTGGGGACAAACAGGCGGCTGGGGACTTTGCAGAGACCCACCCAGCAGCCAACTGCTGTTAATTAAGAGCATCTATGAGAGCAACCGGAGCCCGTGGTTCGTGTGTCCATCTGTGGGGTGAGCCGCCGTCAGCTGGGGGGGGCCTGGAGGGCGCAGGGCCTGGTGGGCATGGCCTCATCCCAGCCCTCTATTCCCAGCCCATGCCGCAGTGCCAAGGGTGAAGTGCAGGGCTGGTTCCTGAGTGGTGGCACAGCCCCACAGCCTCCAAGAGGGCACTGAGCCCCACGGAGCACCATCTGGAGGTCCACATAGGTGGGGAGGTTACAGACACCCAGCTGAAATGCTTGGTGCTGCTAGAGTTCACTTCTTACCCACCCTGCAGAGCTTGGGATCAGATCCAGTTGAGTGCCACGGCCACGGCCTGCTCTGCCTGAACATGCTCCACGCTGGAGGCACTCATTAGCCAGGCCACCATGCATGAAGGGCCTGCAGCTGGTGGAGGAGTGGCCCTCTGGGGAAAAGCACGGTGGGGGCAAGCTCCTTGCCAGCCACACGTGGCTCTACAACACTACTGGCAGCAGCTTTGGTGCCACTAACACAGAGGGCTGAGGCTCTGCCCGTGAGCTGCAGGAGCAGCTGCTGGGAGCTGGCAGCCACAAGGCGGAGATGAAGGCAGCTGCCAGCTGGCTGACACACGGCCCCAGTGTGGGATTTATTTGGGATCCGTGGTGGAGGGCAGGAAGCAGTGCACGTGTGGCAGGGCCAGCAGCTGCCAAGAGGCTGCAGTGAGAGGCGAGGCAGGAGCGTGTGCTTGGCTCAGATGGAGCAGCTCATGGCTGCTCCAGCCAGGAGGTGGGGTGAGCACTGACCCCCTCTTCGCTAGGACAGGTTTTGCCTACCAGTTAATGGGAGTTTCCTTTGCTGGACTTGTCCCCACTGCATTTTGTCCTGGCCCCCTGTGCTGGATGTACAGGAGCGGACGCAGCCCTGCAACCCCAGCCACTAGTTTCTCTGTGATACACAGCCGCCCCCTGGGCTGGCACAGCCCATCCCAAGCCCCCAGCAAGAGAGCACAAGTGCTGAAAGCTGAAACAGAAACCTATATTTATTTGTAGAGTCCAGGGCAAGCCCAGGCCCATGGCAGCAGTACTGCCCCACAGTGGCCCTGTACTCCAGCCAGCTCCCCACAGTGGGGGGCTGCCACCCCAACAGGAGACTACTGCCAACCAGTAGAGCCATCCTTGCTTCCCTGTCAGTGCTCAGTCCCCTCAGCACGCTCCTGGCGGCCAGGTGCTGCTCCCCCTACACTAGAGGGGCTGTTAAAGAGTCCCCCACCAGGTCAACACCCACACAAGGCTTTGCGTGACAAAACTGCATGGCCATTTTTTCTGCCAAGATTGAAAAAGGAGAAGCAGGAGCAATAGGAAGGTAGCAGGTGGGTGTCTCTGCCCCAGATCTCTCACGCCCCTTAGCTCCATCATCCCTTTGCTCCTCCAGTTCCAGCTCTCCTGAGCCTTATTAGCAGGCAGCAAACTTTTGCTGGATGAGTTTGTACCTGAGGAGCTCCTGCTCAGAGACTGATGGCTGCAACCTCGCAGCAGCCTGCAGGAAGTCTTCCATGGTGAGTATGAGAGCAGAGCTCTCTGTATCCAACCCTGTGTAAAAAAGAATGAGAACAAACTGAGAGCAAAGCCAGGGAGCATAGCATAGCCTCCAGTCCTTTTTCCAGATAGAGAAGGGGAAAGAAAACTGCCTCTCCCCTCCCCACTGAGGCCACCCAAGGTGCAATCACACATGGCAAAAGCACCTGCTAGCAACCCACAGCCTTGCACTTAGAGATGGCCCAGAGCCATTGGAGCTCTTCCCTCCAAGCCCAACTACTGCTATAGCAGTGCTAACTGCCCTCTGTCTTTGTGCTGGGGAACTCCAGCACATGGGGTGAGGAGGGGCTGGGCTCATACCCTCCTCGATCCATTCCACCTTGCGTTTGACAGCACACATCATGGCATCTGAGCACAGTGAGTAGATATCAGCTCCTGTCAGCTGAGCCGGGCACTCTTCTAGGATGCTGCTGAGGTTCACAGAAGGATCCAGTTTAAACCTGCCAAGAAATAAAGGTGCAGGTGATGAGAGTCTGGGAGACAGGCAGCAGCCAGAGCAGCTGGGCAGGAGGGATCACAGGCCACAGAGTCACAGCCCATGTTTAGCAACTTCTGGACTCTGCTCTTCGTGCTTCAGAAAAATCAAAGCGTTCTGCTTGGTTGGTCGATTCTATGTTTTGCTGTGTCTTTTTTGTTTTCTTTTTTAAACCAGTCATTTCTTTGCAACAACCCCACAGCAGTGTCCTTTCTACTGCCAAGTAGGATCAAAGGCAACTTGAGTTCTCACTCAGTGAAATTAAGTGCTCTACACACCTGTGAACAGCCTACAGCAAGGGCTGAATAACAACATTTAATTACAGACAGTGCTAACCACTGAGACACCAAACCACCCCATCACAGTCATGCTGCAGACAGGGAGCCTCCTACAACCCAGTGCTGGAGGGCATGGCTGCCAAGCCACATGGTATGGAATGTGCGTACAGCCAGCCTACGCTGTCACCTCTCCTTCCAGCCCATCCTTGAAAGCAGCAGTGATCACAGCAATCCCGCTCCACAGCACTCAGACATGAGGCCAAGTTGGAGCATATCAGCCCCAGGAAGGCTGCTACCCATCAGAAAGCAGTGGAAGGGTGCTGGAAGAGGCCAGGGTCACTCACTTCCTGGTGACAGCACTCAACACCTGCAGCTGTGACTCCCGGTCTTCATTTACGCCCACATAGACCAGCTTGTCAAATCTGTCAGCAGAGAAAAGAGACCATCAAGAATAGGCCACTGCTGGCAACTAAAATAGGGTCCTGGGGCAGCTGCTTTGGATGTCAAGTCCTTGGAAAACAGAAAACTTTCTGGGATGAGGGGTGCAGATGATACGCTGGAGGTCAAGGCTGCTCTTCAGAGGG